AAATCTTTTAAATAGGAGTGGGAAACTTATGTAACGTCAAACACACAGAATGGTCAAAAAATAGACCGTATCCGTGACGGAGACGGAATCGTCAAAAATTGACCAGATCCGTGACGGAGACGGTCAATCTATAAAATTGCCCTGTCCAGGATACAGAATAGTCAAACATTGACCAGATCCGTCACGGATACGGTCAAAATCGTTGTTAACCTTCACCGTAATTTTGCGGTGATGGACCATCATACGTTTTTTACTTTTTTTTTTTTTTTTCGTCCATCATAATAAAGTGGTAACCAAGTTCTAACAGTATCACTTTTGGTTTCACTTTAATTTTGTTCTCCATGCAAAACAGTGTGCTTTATTTTGTTTTAAAAAGAAGTTAGAGGGTCTTATTATATTGAAGGAAGTATTAATATATATATATGATGTCTGAATTTAAATTATAAAATATTGCATGATGAAGGTATTCTATTTTAGTACTGTTTTCCTCTTGCATTATTTTAATTGAAGAGGTGGATAGACTAATGAAGTGTATTTTCTTTATAAAGTATGGATTCAGAGATATTTATATTTTAGTGTAAGATGTATGATGTAATTGTATCGAATGTTATTTTTATTATGATTTTATTAAGAAGTAGGTCATATCAGATCATCACTGTTGTAGATTGTATTGATCCTCTCTTCTGTAGTACTGACTTACAAATTGACACAAATGCTTTCTTGTTACAATGTATTCCTTAAGGACGTGGTTCAAAGGAAGGTGACCCTAGTAGTCCTCTTTTGTTCAATTTAGCCTTTTAATCTACAGCCTGTTCAGAACGCTCTTGTGGATTGGGTCTACTTGGTTACGTCTTACGACAATCGGTATTACAACTGTGTTGGCTACAACCTCTCATGTCTTCACCAACCAATATACTTGTTTCTGTTACCCCGCATGTTAAATCTTTTGTATTGCCTCGATTAATTGCCTTCTTGTACTTTCAATTCTCCACATCTGTATCTGGTAATCACTTTCCAACTGCTCCTCAAGATCTTGAACCCGGGTTTTAATTCCTATTTCCTAAACGTCGTCCTCCTGCTACCAAAAACATTAACGGGTCTCTATATCTATTTTTCCAAGCCATTTATCGGTTACCCAAATTATACACGGATTTTGCTATCAGCGCTGCTACTTGTTTAGAACTTCCAATGGCTTCCATTATAGTTAACTCGCAGTAGTTCGCTTTGCACGATCTATGGCATCATTGCCTAGTTCCGTATGTTATACTCTTGATTCAGTCAACGAAAACTGTTTATGCCCTAAACGTTCCACATAATTCACCATCTACCGGTCCTTATCTTGACAAATTCTTCGTTTAGTGACCAATAAAGAGCCTGCACTTCTGCCCTTCCTTGTTCACTCTTTCATCCCTCTTTCCTGTGCCTCCGGATATACTCCTGTTCTAGATCACTCGGTAGTGAATATCACACCATTCCTACTTGCATTACAGATTGTTTCTCCTTCCGAGTTTCCACATGACCCGTTAACTACGAAGATTTACTGCCAATGGTGTTCTCCCTCGCCTATGTATCCATCTTTTCCTCTTCCATATGCACCCACTCTAGCCACGAACTGGTCTATATTTTGGGATATCCCCTTATCAAATTCTTGCCGCAATAACGGGTATCAGTATATCCATAATGAAATCCCTCATAGATCTATTCTGCAGAGATTTATGCCAGGGAACTTCCCAACAGCAGCTTGTCAATTATGCTCACATCCATCCGAACTTTCGATCACTTTTTGTTTGAGTGTCCTTTCAGACTGCTTGCTTGGCAACATATCTGGGATCACTACATCTCCCCATCCTCTATCACTTTGTCGACCGATACCTTGTATGTTAGTCTTCCTACTTTTCGTGCCCTCTTGCCCAATATGCCACCTTTTCCTGAATCTAGCCCTTTCGCTCTTTCTACTACTCTCGAATCAATTTGGTTGGACTATTGGGCTTTTGTCTTTAAGGAGACTCCTTTTAAACTGCTTCCACTATTTCTCTCGCGTACGAAAAGATTTTAAAATCTCAACATGAAGCACTTCTTCAATCTGGCATCCCTCATTCTCCCCCTCCCATTTTCTCTGAGGACAGCTTATATTCCCTCCATTGGTAAGACCTTCTAGTGTTCCGCATTCCGCTAAAACTGTTTTTATTTTTCTAAATTTCAAACTTGTACATACTTAACTATAACAAAAAAACACAGCAATTCTATAATAGAAAACCCAAAAACATAGTTCCCTTTTATATCAATAATAAATTACAAAGACTCCGTCTCCATATACACAAACAAACAAAAAAATCCCCCCCCCCCCTAACTCCCAGCCAAAAATGTTAAAAACCGATCAAGCGTCTTCAGAAGAAGATATTATTGAGAGAATATGGAAGGTAATCCCCATTTTTTCTTAATAAACATCTAATTAACAATAAATGGGGAAGTCGAAGCTGATATCTTTTATTTAAAAACGTCTGAAGTTCTCGAGAAAATGTCTAAAATTTTGGTCCGATCGCACGTTACTGGTGGTTTATGTCATTTATAAAGTGCTGATAAGATTTTTCTTGATGTACAAATATTTTGCCAGTCTACACCATGGCAATAACTTTGTTTGACGAATGTAAATACTTCAAATAGTACAAACTGTGATAGATTCAGCAATAGTATAGATTAGTTTAATCTTTTTAAAAGTTTACGTATACATTAACTCGACACGCATTTTTTTCGTTAAAAGCAAAAGTTTTTCCGGCTGCAGTAAGTTTACACACCATATTCCAGAATAGGACAATAATGCTGATAAAAAATTGAAGGTAGTAGCGTCACAAATGACTGTTGCAGGCGCTGTATTTTTATCTAGTACTTATGTATCCCTTGTTTTCATGAAGGTTAAATCATTTATTAAGCGAACTATGACATGCTGACATAAACTAGCTTGTTTATCGCTTTTACAAAGAAGTCCGTTCTTAGCAGCAGTACGTTTAATATAAAACATCCGCTTAATACTCAATCGAAGCTCACTCAATCGCTTATGAACGGACCGATATTCGAGTACAAAAAGCTAGTGAAAATTTTATCCAAACTAACGCAGGCTCGCCCTAGAAACGAAAAGTTACGTACTTATGAAATTATAATTGGAAAAAGACGTCGGACAAAGATATTTTTAAGTCGTTGATGTGGTTGCACAATAAGATCAACCAAATTGAGAACAGTAAATTGATCCGTATTCAATCAATGGGCTATTATCCATAATTGAAGTTTGACAATTGCATAAGCAGACCTCTCTTTGCGTATTTAAACGGTTTCTTACGCCTGCAAAAATTCTAACAATTCATAGTATCCGGCTATTTTTTAATATATTATTTATTTACAACATTAAAAAAGACAGATTAAATTTTAATTATTAGCGAGTCGACGGTGAGCTGCTTGAAGATATACTAAGTTTTGACTGTGTTAATTTTGCCACATAATCTGTGCCGTACGTATCGATAAATTTTTCGATTTTTATACGTAGTGGAGTGTCCATCGCTTTTATTTTTCTATCCGACTGGGTTTCCTTATCTACAATATGGTGTGTTACCTGAAGTATAAACGCATTAGAATAATTTTGTATTATGAACATGAACACGTAAACTAAAATAAAGAAATACACACCTTTCTAGCCAATTCTTTAAATAAATGTTTGTCACCTTTCCACAGTGCTTGCTTTTTTGAACTAAGATATTTAGTTACAATTTTACCCACTTCTCTTTTCAAATCCACATCATTTAAAAAGGAAACGTTTTCATCTATCGAGCCACTAGTCGATACTTCATCCTTCGGGCTTTCCGTACTACTATGATCATCTAGCAAGAGCCGTTTTCTCTTAATTTCTTCTGAGTCTAATATAGCTTGTTCTACCAATCCTTCCAACTGCAGTGGATCCGCAACACCTTCGATTGATATTTGTTGAGGCTGATCTTCTATTGGTATTTCCCACTGTGTCTGCTGTGTCGAAATGTTATAATAATAAACGGATCCATCATTTGTCACGGCCATTTGCCAATTTAACGGTAATTTAAGTGTCTGTTGTTGGAATGCGTAGTAATACTCTTGCAAAGTCATACCTTCTGCAGCAGCAGCAGCCTCATAATAAAATTGGCTATAATTATATGGATCTTGATAATATTCTGTATAAAATTGCTGCTGCTGCTGTTGTTGTTGTTGTTGTTGTTGTTGTTGTGATTCAGTTTGGGTATCAATATTAGTCGTTAATGTAGTAATAGTTGTTGCAGGTGCAATTGGAACGGATGTAGATGAATTAAAGGATGATATATTGCTATTATTGACTGTATTATAAGAAAAGTATCCTCCAGTTGTATGCTTTTTATGTTTGTTATTATAATATTGCTTTTGATGATGTTGATGATAATGTGATGGTTGATATACAATAGTTGAAGTGGATGGATCCAACATGGCTTTGGGAGCGGTTGGAATAAGAGATTGAGGCGGATATCGCATTTTAAATGTAATTTCTTCTTGAGTCGCATCGATAGAAACATATTCGAAGTAATCGTTGTCTGGATCAAAAAATTCTCTGCTCGATTCATACCTCGTCTTCTTCTTTTTCTTCTTGGAAAGAGTTGTAATTTTTTTTGTTGTTATGTCCATTTGCTCTTCTAGTATATCTTCTTCATCAATAGCGGGCTGAATTAACTCGACATGAGCTCTCTTTGGTATACGATAAACACATTTTAAATCACTCCATTCATCCAATAAATACTGTGATAATCCACTTATTTCTTCATTTTCATGATTTATAAATTTGTGTACCACATGAAATAATTTGCAATCTTCCAATCCATTTCTGTTTGCTAAAGGTAGTTTTTCTAAAACTTGCAAGGCCTGAGTAAATAGAAAAATTAGTATAGATATAATAGATTTTGATATTTTAAAAAAAAACCTTCAAAACAATAGTTTCGTTATTTTTCCATTCTCCTAACCAGAATTTCAACATTTTCAATCCATGCAATCTTACAATCATTTTCAATATCTCTCTTCCATGAGAATTATCCACATTGGTCATTTTTAGTCGCATAAGGAGTTTGTTCACCAGGCGAGGTTTACCAACTGAATTAAGCATGCGTTTCACAAAAGATTGTACTTTTTCAGGATCTTGAAGTGGTTGTGGCCGTTGTATTGTGATAACATCGAGATCATCATCATCATCGTCTTCATCAGATGAGGAATCGGAATCGGATGTGTTTAAATATGTATCAGTCAACACTTCTTCGATCACTTTTTCGTCAGAAGCACCAATAAAACCTTTACATCTCGGTTCACCGCAGTAACATTTTTGAGCAATAGCACCATAACGTTCAAATTTGTAATCAAATGTTAATTCTTCACCTGCCTTTATTGGACGACTCGTGAATATACCAATTCGCATTTTTTTGCCAATAACCCATTTCTGTGTAACGCAGTTCGGATTGCAAGAATGATTCATAAATCTTGCCAAGCAACCTCTTTTAGTGGCATCAATAATCTATTTGCGGCGTTAGAAGGTACATACACAGACACACACAGAAACACACACACACACGCACACACACACACGCACACACACACACGCACACACACACACACACACACACGCACACACACTCAGATACAAACCTCGTCGTTTTTAAGTGTCATGAAATAATAATGTTTAAATCCTTCGGCATCGTATTCCCTCGTTCTTCTTATAAACTCTGTCTGTGGTATCACCTCACCGATATATTCCATGATAAAGCAATTACTATTTTAAATTTAGTACATGAGAAAAATGAAGGGGACGTATAAACTTACGAAGGAAGATCGGCGAGTGCTCTCAAACCAAATCCTTTCTTCTCGGTCTTGATAACATCCACTGGAGCATATTGACCTAACTGAAATCGTCTATTCTGACATAACCTTCCGCAAGGACAATCTTGTACAATACATTCCATGAACATCATGCGATTAATACAAATATTGTCATCCCCACAAGCTTCAGAAGGGTTGTCTAATTCTGAATCGTATTTACATTCACATGGCATAGATTCCTCTGCCATTGATCGACCTGTTGCTGAACCAATGTAGATATTAGCGGAAATGTTCTCATACACTTGTAAAGCTTCATCAGTTGCAGACGGGAACTGTTTAGTATCTTCCATAACATCTTTTAGATTAATGTACAAAAAGAAAAGAAGAGTAAAAAGGTTAGACTAGAAAGTTGCAATATAAGGGATACTGGGTAACGTGACTTACCCTCTTTCTCCCATTCATGGTCGGATTGGTCTTCATCCTGGTCTTCCCGATCTGAATTTTGCTCATCTTCGGATGGTATAAAAGTTGTGGTTGGTGGACGTTTAGAGCCAAATTCAAAATGGAATTCGAACAGGTTTGAGGAGGTGCTATAAGGCTGTCTTTGGTGGCCTTCTTGATCAGATTCTTGGGAAGAATCACCCATAATATCAAGTTCGGACTCTTGATCGTCTTCATCGTCGTCGTCGTCTTCTTCTTCATCTTGACTGCTGTTGTCTTGAATATTTTCGGGGAAGGCTCGGTCAAATGAATCTACTGATCGTCTTCTTTCTGTGACATTGTTCATTCTATTCCACATGTCTTTTGAAGTAGTTGTGGTAGTAGCAGTAACTTTAGCACAAACAACATTCACAGTCGAAGAGGATAGAGCATTAGCTTTTTTCGCAAACTGTTTTGTATCCAACACTACAAATAGGTTTAATGTCGAAATAAATCAAGGACCGAAAGAAAAAAAGTACCTGAATTGACGTGCTTAATTATGTATTTCTTTTCTCTAATTTCCAAGGAGACTGCACTTGATCTAGAATCGAATATAATTTAAAATGGGACAACAGTGTTTTTTTTGTATTTAGAAAATAAATAAATACCTGATATTGGTTTTATGCATAAGCCAATATCTCGAGAGAATTTTTCTTTTTCTTTCGTTTGATTGGTTTTTTCACTTTCTATTTGTTACAAAAATAAATAAACAGAATGTAGTAAAAAACACTCAAAAAGAAGCTTTTGTGAATATGTTTACAAAAAGAAAAAAATAAAAATGTGAAAACGGATTTTTAGTTATTTTTTTTTTTTTTTTTTCGTTTTCAAACAACCCACTCCGAACTTTCTAAATTGATTGGTAAACTCAGACAAATAAAAAAAATAGTTGCTGTTAATGGCACAATGAACTCTAACATTTCTATAAGCAAAAAAGAAAAAGTTAAAGCTCTCATGTATTTCTGGATTACTTGTTTGTTATACCTAATAATAAAGCAAAAACGGTTGACAAAGGACTTGCCGAAATTTCACCTTTGTTAAATGAAGAGAGCATGACCAAGGAACAAGAAGCTGTTGATGAAACCTTACAAAAATTATACTTCCTCAATTAAGAAGTTTTTATTTTCCTTGTACCATGTTGAACCAAACTAAGCTCGAAGGCCAGAAAACCTAAAAAATAGTTTACGCAATCCCTTATACTAACTGATTGTGGGACTCCATCCATTACAGCCTTCCACCCTCAATCACGTAAAAGACCTACAAGGATTTTTTTTTTCCAAGATAGAGTTGTATTTTATGTTACCGGCTGTACCCAAGAAAAACATACAATCACGCATGATCTGCACTTCACATATTTATAATAATACCTGGATATCTTTTAATATTTAGCGAAGGGTTGATATAAAAAATATACGTCTGCCCCTTCTTTTTTCACATAACCGCTTTTAGAGCTATTTATGGCAAATAATTTACAAAGAATGGAGTGCCGAGACCATTGATATTTTAGGCAGTCATAAAAGATGTTTATTTGTATTGGCTAAGAATATCACATATTTTAACCTGCCAAATTAGTATCTCTTACAGAACTTAATGTCCAGTTCTAAGGGTCCGACAACAATATGGCCAGTGTTAATCAATCCGTTCTTGTGGATAGAATTATCAGGTGTCGACCAGGTGAATTTACGGACTAAAAGGGCCAGATATATAAGTATTTACTAACAAATTATAAATTAAGTAGTTACTGTCTTACGCAACATAGAAAGTAGGACTCTTTGCTCATTTAAACTAAAGTTTAAACCGATACACTGTCTTGCGCCATTCCCAAATGGAGCCCAAGAAAACCCTTCTCCGGGACCACGATAATTCTCTCCTTTATCAGAAAATCTTTCAGGATCAAACTTATCGGGATTGTTCCACACTTTTGCTGAATGATGAAGATTGAATATACTGACGGTAAGCAGAGTTCCTTTGGGAATAAATGTGCCGGACAACTCAGTATCTTCACCAGCAACACGCGGTACCACCTGAACAGCAGGGGGATTGATACGCAATGACTCTTTAATAACCTGATTAATGTAGGTCATTCTCTTGATATCTTCAGCATTTGGTAGAACATCAAATGGACTGTCGCCTAAGATACTGGTAGCTTCATCTCTAGCTTTCTTTTGTATATCCTATAATAAGGTTAACATTTATGAAGAAGGAATCAATAACATTGTTTCAAATACCTGGTTTTCCGCTAAATAATGGATTGCAGAAGACAAAGCATTGGATGTAGTGTCATGTCCTATAAAGTGAAATATCAAGACTTGAACATATTGCAATATAACTTGAGTAAAAATTTATATTACCAGCGATAAAGAACAGGCATAAATTATTCTATAAATTCATAATATATTTTAGTATCCCAAGCTTTGACTGTTCCTTCATTAATTACACGTACCATCAATTCTTTGTCGGTTAAAATACCATTCCCTTCTTCAACGCTTTCAATCATCAGGGTGAGCAAATCCTTTTCTTCTTCTTGAGGTGCACCGGTTAAAATGTTATTTTTTATCGCCATTTTTTTATGTTCAATTACACCGGCAAGCATTTCCTTGAAGAGTTCTAGTTCTTTATGAAGTTTCTCTCTTTTAGGAAACAACCATTTATATTCACCATCAAGCTTTGGAAACACAAAGAATTTAGGATCACGCATCCCTATGTTAATAGAATTGTATCTGTTCACCCAAGCATTATCTTTATCAATAAGGGCATTAAAATCAAAACCTGGATACATAAAAAATGCTGTTATATATACATATGCAATTTTTTGGTACGTTGTTTCACATTTTACCAAAACCAGCTTTTCCAATAGCATTCAAAGTCCATCTTTCCATCAGATCAGTTACGTCAACGATATCATCCATAGTCTCCATCACATGAAACAAATCTCGGGTTAAATTACCAAATAGTTTAATAGGCATTGAACGATGGAAAGCCGGATTGGCTACGTTTCTTTGAGATTTCCATGCGTGTCCATTCAAAGAGACAATATTGGGAAGTAAGGCAAACTTTCCCAACAGAGTTTCCTCTAAGCAATGACTCGTTTTGGTCTTTGAGAACAAATCTTGCAAATACATTAAAAGTAAGTTAGGAAAAACTACGCGTCAATTGAATTATTACATACCTTGCTTTAATAAGATACGTTTAACATCTTCAGGATTAGAAACCAGAACCTCCCAACCAAGTGGACCGGGTTCCTATTTAATTTTAAAATGTTTATAAAAAAAGTTATACTGTTTTTGTCAAATCAAAGTACCAAAAGTAAGCCCTTGTGATTAGGCTTGTCAATTTCTGCTAGATGTACTCGGTAAGCACGATTCCATTTAGACTCATTTGTAATCATTGATTTGATGATGCTAAAATACCCTACATAAGGGATATGGCGAAGATTTCTTGGCGGCTTCAAAATCATTTCCCCGATCAAGTAAGCAACCGAAAGGGCCACAGCCACAGCAATAGAAATGAACTTGTTTTTCTTGGTCAGTCGTGGGATAACCTGATTTTTATATGCCATAGTAACAGCATCCTGTAAGGGAAGTTTCAAAAACGAATTGGGTAGAAGGATCATTAAATTGTTTGATTCAGGATGAGGGTAAACACCTTAAAATTTTGATTTCTTATTAATACTTATGAAATGGAATCTTTCGGGATAAAACTCGCCGTGCGACGGAAATAGTTTCTCCATTGGATAGAAATTAAAGGCTACTAACTAACAAGTTTTGTTATGTTATTTGCACAAGTCTGGTAGTAGCTCACGCAATCAAAGCTGCCAATAACACATTTAGGCGTCGGCTAGGCTACTAATCCAGTTCATGAGTATTGCAATTCACTAGAATCAATCTTGATACTTATAAACCTCACTTGATGAAAACCTGTAAGTTGAATTTTTTTTATCGTGGCTTACATGCTTTCTTTACAAAACAAAAAACAAGATATACAATCTTGCATGATGTTCAACCGAAAAAGAGTGTTTGTACAACATACAATTTTCTCAGTCGATCCCATAGCATTTTGAGCGAATAAGATAATGTTATACACAGCCGAAAGAATTGCTATCGTCAGAAAATCTTGAAAAATATAAAATGTCGCCCACACTTTCTGTTGAATATGACATACTGATATTGCGTTTTTTTCAAGTTTAGTGTTTATCAGTACTATTTTTAATGGCTACAAGTAATTGATGTGAAACACGGCATCAAGTGTGTAAATATTTAAGGAATGAAACTTGTGTATTTCAAAAAATCAACAAAAACACAAGTATTGTTTTTGTTTCTATGTTTCTTATTATTCCGATGCTTGTTTCTGTACAGCCGTTGGGTGATACACCAAACGTTAAACATACGCACGAATGTCTGTTGTTAGATACCCTTTTGCCTTTACACGAATACTTAAACTATTAATATATCGTTAACCATAAAATGGACATAGATTTTTCTGTCTTTGTAAGACTACTTATGACATCTTACATGCGTCTTAAAATTTCCTCACTCATAGATCCATGGTGTTTAATCTTTTTTTTTTTTTTTTGATACCAAGGAAATTACATCTTATCTTTGTCCAAGGATATTTAAGGATACGTGCTAAATTTTGAGGACGGCATTTTTCAAATTCGTATAGTTTATTATGTAGAAGCAACCAATAACTTGATAAAGTATTAAGTTGCAGTGTGTTTTAGTAATGGCAGAATCACCAACACCATAAATCCCTGTTTTCTTCTTAACGTTGACTACAGTATGGTCCGATCTCCCTTTTTTTACTTATTACTGGTATCTTGGGTTTTGGCAAAGACTTTTTCTTAAATGAGATTGCTTTCATGTACATGTTTTTTTTTTTCTCTGTGTTCATTGCCAATTATGTAAAGGTAAAAAACTGGATTTTGTGATTTAAAATTGATGGTCACTATTGGGTAGCGCAGCTTTGGGAACAAGTTTATTTTTTAGTAGGATAAACTTAAATACATGTTTAAATTTCTATGTATTCGATAAGGATGGAATGGGATTAACATGAGATGAAGAGGTTCTGTTACGGGTCCGACCTTTGCAAGCCAATTGTATCACTTGTGAAAAATGTAACAGCTGCTTTTTTATTTTATCGACTTTAGGTTTAAGCGCTCTGACCTCTTTCATTCGTACATTTGTGACTTTGAAAAAAAAAAAAAAAAAAAAAAAAAAAAGCGTGTCCTGCAGACGCATGTATAATGACATAATAGAACGTTTTTTAATGGTTAATTTGTTCTGTCAAAAAAAAAAGTATTGCCATTGCGCTTATATATCTAGCTTGTAAGCATCTATGTTATATGCAGTTGGTGATTATTTGTAGTAGGTTGTAAATGAGGATGAACGACTATAGGTACTTTCAATAGATTCTTTGTAACGTGTCTTTTTGTATATTCCATATTGAATACTAGTAGTCCCTGTCATACGAGATTGCCTGTTTAGTAAATGAAATGATGTAATATTGTACACAGCAGATCGGCAAACAAAACATGAAAAATATGAGGCGAGCAAAAAAAGAACAACTTTTTATGTAACCCAAACAAACAGCTTATTTGAAAATATATATATATATATTTATATATCTTTCTAGATTACATCATTGCTTAAAAAAAAATTTAAAATATATTTGTATATATAAGGGATTTCTGCAAACTTAAAGTTTGTGTATCCTTCGTTATAAGCCATCTTTTTTTCTTTTTCTATTTAAATAATTCTAGCCAATAAGTGTTATAAGTGACAGCCTCATTTTTGTTCTTATTTAATGACGTCTCTTTTTGCGATATAATACATTGTATTTGCAACCCATTGCGACTATTTTTTTTTTTTTTTTTTTTTTAGTGAAAAAAAAAAAAAAAAAAAAAAAAATACACCCACGACAAACGAGCTAAAAAAAATTAGAATTTTTTTTTTTCTTTTCTTCATCTCGCTTCATTTCATAATTGCAACAGATTCTTCCTTTCATTGAACGAAACCAGAGTTTACAGAGAAATTAAAAAAGGAATTTTTATTTGTATAAAATGAACTTTGCTTCAGCAACAAATATTACCGATAGGGTAATTATGCCTAGAGAGAATATAATTTCAAGTTTGTTAGCTGCAACGTATTCTTTTGTTGGTGATGAATATCTGGATAGTCTCGTAAAAGAAATTGGATTGGCCACTGGAGCACAAACAATAATGATTCAAAGACTACTAACATCAAAAGAATATCACGATTTAAAAGAGAACGAAGGCTGTCCAGCTATCCGACTAGTTTCTAACGAACAAGTACAAAATAGTCGTGAAACTTCACCAATTATAAACGACACAGAAAACCACTCGAAAGTTGAATATCTCCTGGTCAAAGCGTGCTATTCGACAATATTAAATTTTGAAGCATTGTAACATCTTTTTCTTATTATTATCATCTTGGGTTTTTATTTTTATTGACATTAATTCATAGTAAAAAGTATGCTGCTATATCCTTAAACTCCTTTTCGCCTGATTCACCCTTCTTACAAACGCTTGGTTATTCAAATTATCATGTTGCACAAGATGCATCATTCGCAGATTCAGCTTATCCCAAATACGCCAGTTTTGTAGGATTGCGATTAGATCAAGGGTCACTACCGATTGGTCTAATTACTGTCATGAACGATAAGCCAATGAAACAAGATCAAATCGAAACCATTCAAAAGTTACTATTTGCCGTCCAACAAAGAGCAACAAACGAAATAGAAAAAATTAGGCAGAGAGACAACTTGGTCATGATAAAAAATGCTGCCCTACAAGATGCTGAAAGTAAAATTAAATTTTTAGCTGACATGAGTCATGAAATAAGGTAGTTTTTTTTTCTTTTCTTTTTTTTACCTATTTTATACTGGCACTAAAAAAAACCCCCTCAGAACACCAATGAATGCTGTCATTGCCCTTACAGACTTACTGCTCCAAGAAAGAAGTACACTTAACGAAGAACAAGCTGAGCATTTAGAGGTCATACAAACTAGTGGAAACCATCTTTTAACTGTAAGTTTTGAATTGTTCATGCTATCTTGTAAATACTTAAATATGCAGTAGGTTATCAATGACATTTTAGATATTTCGAAAATCAATCACGACCCGAAATTTAAATTGGAAAATCGAAGATTTAGCCTACGAAAGTGTGTAAAAGGTATGTTTATCACACATATATAAAAGTGAAATGGGTCATCTAATCACGTTTTCATCATCAGACGCACTAAACATGGCACGACATCAAGCATCAATGACTCAATACAATAAATTAGTCTGTGTTGCCGAGTGCCCAGCAGAAGTAAATGATAATATTCCTTTAAATCAATTGGTAAAACAACTTGAAATCATAGACCCTAATCATCAAGCCATTGTACCTCAACAAAATACTAGTAAAACTGTCCTACCGTTACTTTGGAAAATAGATTCGGATGTACCTGATCATTTGATGGGTGATACAATGAGACTGACTCAAATATTATTAAATTTGTGTTCTAATGCTGTCAAGGTAAACAAAAACATTCATTTCCTAATTTATATATATTCATATTTTTGTGTATATGTGTATGCTTATAGTTTACTAAATCTGGAGGTATTCGTGTTAAAATTACAAGATACGTTCCTCCAAACCCTCAGAAATCTTGCAGCGATACCAAATTCCAAAGTTTTAAAGATCGATTTGATGCCAAAATAGAAGGCATTTACACTCGTGTGATGGGAAGAAAACGAAATGGTGGTGCTGGCGCTACTAATATCGATAACAACGAAGAAGACGGTGGTACAACAACCGAAGAAGAAGACGTCTCGGAAAAGGTCATTTTAGAAATATCTGTCACAGATACTGGTATTGGCATGCCGGCCGATAGACTTCCCAGATTGTTCAAGTCCTTTTCACAAATCGATATCTCTACAGCAAGACGTTATGGAGGTACCGGACTTGGCTTGGCTATCTCCAGTATGTTGGTCAATAGAATGGGTGGAGGTCTCTGGGTAGAATCGGAAGAAGGTTTAGGCTCAAGGTTTGCCTTAACCTTGCCTCTTTCCATTGCCTATGGCCGACCTGATGTACATACAGTAGGCAGTCAAATAGGTTCAGAAAACAGTAGTACATACGCCAGTAGTGGCATGGTGGCATCTCCTCCGTCTCCTGGTTCATCTGTCTCAGACGGTGGGTCCAGTATTGGTGAAAGATCCGATTCTGCTAGTTTTACAACTCCTTCCTCGCCATCCACTTCGACCAGCTATTTCCCTACGCAACCAACCAACACGAATAGTAGATCTCTTAAATATCCCACTACCAATACTAACACGACATTACCATGGGAACCTATAAATATACCCTCCACGCCTTCTCCTACACCGGCAACCTTTGAACCAACCTATATCAGCTCTAATGCTAATACACCCAATGTAATTAATAACAAGGAACTTCAAAACTTGATTACCAAGTCTAAGTCTAGTAATGATAAATTAGATTCGGATTTTACGGCAGCAGCAGCATTCGACTTACCCACAACCAAACCAAAGCCTCGTATTACGCTTGCGAAACAATATCATCATAGAAAATCAAATGCTAACAGTAATGAAGAAAATCTTGCATTATTATATCCAATCAAGATTATGTTGGCAGAAGATAACGTCTGTAAGTTGATTATAGTTGTATCACAGTTGCTTATGACTGATTTTTATTTTTTGTTTTCTTGTACATAGTAAACCAAAAAATTGCAATAAGTATATTAAAACGACTCGGCTATCAAGACGTGATAATTGCTGGAAATGGCCGCGAGGCGCTTGATCTCATGCGGGTTCACAAGTTTGACGTTATTTTTGTAATGTATTTCAGGGGCTGTTTTTAGGTCTGTTTTATCACTAACGTTATAATAGATGGATTTATATATGCCTGAAATGGATGGGCTAGAGGCTACGAGATATATTATTTCTGAACGGAAGCATAATGTCCCACCTCCTCCACCTACGGCAGCGATTGAAGAAAGCAAAAAGAAGGCAGCACTTTTGAACGTGAATGATGTGTATATCATTGCACTTACTGCATCTGCATCTAAACAGGATCGACAAATTTGTATTGATGCAGGCATGAATGATTTTATCAGCAAGCCGTTTACAATGATGGAAATGAAGTCAGCTTTAAAGAACTGTGCAAGTAAAAGAAAGAAACGAAAGAAGCAACAATTACGAGACGAACAGGTCCAGAAACAGCAACAAGCGCAAGAATTAATTAACCTTGTAAAATATAATGATGATCCAATGGTAGGAATTCAAACCGACCAGGAAGATGAAGACGAAGAACGAGACCCGAAATGTCGAAGCCGGAGCAGTAGTATTGGATCTGCTAATAATAATAACCGGTCACCGCCACACGATGATCCCATGCATACAAGTGTTGATGATTTAGCAATGATTCAACATGATACTTTAAAATAAACGTTTTTTTTTTTATTATAATTATTTTTTTATAATTATTATTGCATGATGAAGCTACCTGATTCGCTCTTATTTACTCACTCCTTTGAAAACAACTCCGCATTCAATACGCGACGGGACCAGTTCCGGTTCAATTTATCGCTGTACAGGGCGAAAATGTTTATTTTATAAATATGAACAAGTATACAAAAAGAGGGGGGATAGAAGACTATTAAACAAATAAAAAAAAATATGGGGGATTATATACAATTAATAGACAGGTTGAACATGGTCACGGGGATCACCGACACTATAAGACCTAGGACGTCTAGAAACAGATAGTTGAGAAACTGCCTGGTGAAGAGGAATAAAACTAGAATCTTGAACCAGTGGATTACCAGTGCGAATTATACAAGAGGAATAATTGTTTAAAGAATTCTGGCAGTGTAATATCTGTTGCAATTCAAGACAAGCATCTTGCTGGATATTGTTATTTAGCCAATATATGCTATTGGAAGGTTTTTTTGGACGAGGTGCAATAACGTTCATTAAATATTTACAGAAAGAAATAAAAAGAAATAAAGAAAAGCGAATAAAATAAAAATAAAAAAAAATTGTTTATTTATAAAAATAAAAAAAATGTGTTGTACAAATTAGGATTGGATCCATTAAAACAAAACCACCTGCTTACCAGTGGCGAATCCTGAAATTCCCTGATCAACAGACTGTTTCATGGTTTCCTCGTCCCATTTAACTTGTGTCCACTTTGGTTCGGCAAGTTTACCTTGGCTCATCAAATCAGTTACGTCTTGCAACATTTGATATTTCTCTTCTTGAGGGTGAACATCGGCCCATTTGGAAACCCAAAATCCGTGAAATGACATGTTCTTGAAGATTAATAAGGAAGCGGGTAAAGAAAGAGGCTTTCTACTCATGGCTCCATAAGTAATGAACTTGCCATTCTCACCAAGATATCTGGCCATTTCAGTTGCACTCTTTCCTCCCACACAGTTCAATCCCAAAAGAGGTTTTTCCTTGCCAACCCAACTCTTGATCAATGCTCTAGTTTCATGACTGCTGAGTTCTTCATCTGTAATAACATGAGTAGCCCCAAGATCTAAGAGTTCTTTTCTCAAGACATCGATATCTGGTCTAAAATAGTGTGCGGAGGGGTTTTTTTAGTATTGGTCAGTTGATACAAAATTGTTTGTATGACTAACCTGTTTCGCACTACATTAATTGTCTTTAATCCCCATGCTTTTGCAATCTGGATGACAGCTTGACCAACAGCACTGTTTCCGCCATTTTGAATCACATAGTCACCTTTTTGTAATTATTAGTTTGAAAAAAAGATGTAGAGATGTTTTTTATTATTAGTTTACCTTGCTTTAAATTAACAAAATCTTTCAACATTCTGTATGCAGTACAAGGATTGACTGTGATGGTTGCTTTTTGAATCATGGATACATTATCAGCGCTAGGTAATAATTGGAAATCCGAAGCTGGACCGGCTGCATGAGTTCTCCAAGTTCCATAACCAGTCTTGGCCATCACAACATGATCTCCGATTTTAAGTTCATTTACATGATCACCCACAGCAATAACTTCTGCTAACCCTTCATTACCCCCTACGGCTAATAATTTATCATCTTGTGCGTCCAATTTTTGATACGTGGGTTTAATAGGATATGCTCCCTGGATCATATTGACGTCAGCTGGGTTTATAGGAGACGCAAGAAATTTGACGTGCACTGTATTCGATGTCAAGGCTGGAAGACGATAAGAGTGCCACCTAATTTTTGCTTGTACGGTTACTTCATCAATTCTTTTTCGTTATCTTTTTTTTTTCGCTTACTTTAACACTTGAGAAGGTTGGCCATATTCGCTATAAACCATGGCACTGGCCGTAATATCGGATGAATAAAAACGACGCATTGTCCATGCTTGACGTGGTGTCTTAACAAAAGTACGCAATAAAAGTACCATTATTCTATTAAAATGTGAAGGGTGGGGAAAAAAGAAAATAAAAATAAAATGTATGCTTGTTAAAGTTTCGTCATTCTTTGAGACAGTCACAAGATTTAGTGTGGGGCAAAAAGTAAGTTTCCTAATATAGTAAAAATATCAAAGGAGAAAGATCAGCACGACAATTAAGGGTATAAATAAATAAATAAAAAAAAGTCTTGTACCTTTTTTTTTTTCTAGCATTCTGCTTTTCTTATTTTTTTTTAACTTTCAGCAATGATATCTACTATCCCATCTTCATTGCCTATTTTACCATTATCTGAATATGTGTTATTACCATCCATTGTGACGACATTCATGGTATGTCAATCAGAAGCAGATTTTCTTTTAAGTAGCTCTTCCGACTATGTAATTTGTATTCCGCTTGCCAATAAACAAAGGGAGACTAGTCGTTCTACCGACCTTAGTCAATTATTTCATTATGGATGCGTAGCCAAGGTGATTGAATGCGACCGTACATTGCCGGACAATTGTGTTATCAAGGTAGAAGGAATCTGTCGCTCACGGATTCGGGATATCTCCAGTGAAAACGGAGGAGATCAATTCCAGGCTCTATTAGAGCATTATCCTGATGATGGTGACAAGGGTTTGCAATTGGAAGATCAGTTAGGATTTCAGACACTTGTGAACACTTTTATTGAAAAAATGAGATGTATTGGCGTTTCCAGCAGTGTACTAAACGGTCTGAGTGAAGTAGCAGATCGCTGTCACGTATCTTACGTGGCCAACCTACTTTTATGTATTACTGACTCTCCCTTATGTGACAAGCTGCGTGTACTGGAATTATCAGATATGAAAAAACGGTTAGAACAGGTCAATCATGCGGTGAATCGTTATTTACAGGTAAATACATGGACTGGAATTTCTATTTATGCATAACAACAACTGTTTAATGAAAAAATAATAATAATGCTGTTATAACAATAGATGATCAATGTCACCTCAGTCAGTAGTTTTCCAAATGAAATGTTATTTGATGATATCCGTAGAAAATTTTATCTGCTCCAAGAGGTATAAAATGTTTATGCAAAACATAAGGTTATTTTTGGGGTTATTTACTATTATGGTTTATATGCAGGTCAACTCCATTTCATATAGTCAACAACATCAGCACCTTCAACAGCAGTTCACAGCATTAGCAGAAGATGATGAAGAAATTACTGATCTTGTTAGAAAATTAAACCAGGTGAAACTACCAGAATATGCTGTTACAGCTGTAAGACGTGATTTAAACCGACTTCGAAAACTGCCTGAATCCTCTTCAGATTCCGCTGTATTACGTATTTACATTGAATACATAACTGATTTACCTTGGCAAACAGCTCCTCCAACAGAACTTAATATATCATCTGCAAAGAATCAACTGGACGCTGATCATTTTGGGTAAAAATGGATTTTAGGCTTTATTTTGCATTTAATTGTCTCTCCTTACTAAAAACAAAACCCCCCCCCCGGCCCTTCTCCTTATTTAGTATTGATCATGTAAAGAAAAGAATTTTGGAATATTTATCTGTACTCAAAGTCAAAAAGGATGCAAAACCACCCATTATTTGTTTTGTCGGTCCCGTAAGTTCTCCTAGTATCAATGATTGATGTCCAACATTTTACTAAAAAAAATCGACATTCTATTATTGTGTAGCCTGGTGTTGGAAAAACTACGCTGGGAATATCAATAGCAACTGCACTCCAAAGAAAATTTCACCGCATGTCGTTAGGTGGCGTACGTGATGAGGCAGAAATAAGGTACAAACAAATAAAATCCGGCTTGGTAACACCAATCATATTGATTATCTTAATACATAGAGGACATCGACGTACTTATGTTGGGGCCCTACCAGGTCTGTTTATTCATGGTATGAGACAGTGTGGAGTGCAAAACCCCGTATTCTTATTAGGTAACTTAATTTTTTTATTTTGCTCCCTGTCTTGGCTAATTTATGTTTGCAGATGAAATTGATAAACTTGTGCAAGGAACAAGTCAAGGTGACCCAGCCGCTGCATTGTTAGAAGTGCTTGATCCTGCACAGAACTCTACATTCACTGATCACTTTATGAACATGCCGTATGATCTTTCCCAAGTCCTATTCATTGCTACTGCAAACTCAATGGAGTCTATCCCAGGCCCCTTATTGGATCGTATGGAGGTAATTCATCTGGATGGTTATACCTTTAATGAGAAGCTACATATTGCACAAACACATCTTGTACCCAAACAAATAGAGGCGCATGGCTTATCTTTTCTTGACTTGAATATTCCCGATCAGGTTGTCATGCATGTTGCAGAAAAGTATACACGAGAGAGTGGAGTACGTGGATTAGAGAGGTTGATGGCAAGTATCTGTAGATACAAATGTCGTGAGTATACGGATTTACATGAGTCGGGAAAGCTAGAACTGTTCGAAAGGGCTGTTGATATAAGTGATATTGAGCATATCCTCGGTGTAAAGTATAAACAAATCATTAGAGAAAAGGATTAGAAGAACTTATGTGTATTTCATAGGCGGAACCATTCGAGAACGATGTAGTGGAATCTGAAGATATACCCGGTGTTATTACTGGGTTGGCTTACTCAGGAAGTGGAAACGGTGGTATTATGTTTATTGAGGCATCAAAAATGCCTGGTGATGGAAACCTTTACCTGACAGGATCCTTGGGTGATGTGATTCAAGAATCGGCAAAACTAGCACTGTCTTGGGTGAAATCAAATGCCTATGTTCTCAAATTAACTTCGAACTCAAGGGAGAAACTGAATGAACATGATGATATTCATATCCATTTCCCTTCTGGAGCTATTTCTAAAAATGGACCTTCAGCTGGTAATATTTTATCCGTTTTTTTTTTTATTTTATTTATTTTTTGTTCTAAAAACGTTTGTTCATAAAGGTGTCACATTGGTTTGCGCTATCGTCTCACTTTATTCCGGTTATCATGTACCACCAACTACTGCTATGACAGGCGAAATTTCTTTGCGAGGTCGAGTGTTACCGGTCGGAGGTATAAAGGAAAAGGTCGTATCTGCTCATCGCGCTGGTATCCGTAAAATCATCATGCCTTTCCGCAACCGCAAAGACGTGGAAGAGGATGTACCCGATAAGGTCAAGGATGACATTCAATTTGTATTTGCCAAAACTATATGGGATGTCTTGGAGGCTGCTTTAGTTATAAATACCTCCGAAAAATGGACCACGCGTGTGTATGAGAGCCGTTTGTAATTTATTCTATTCACCACTCTATAATTTAATAAAACTTAATCTACTTTTAATAACTATCTTGATGTCTCTGATTAGTGAGTACGAAAAAGTACTCGTCCTGTTATACGAAAAAAAAAAAAAAAAAAAAAAATGATGATAGATAGTTAACTAGTTCCACCTTTTTCTTATTTTTATTGCTCTTTTTCATTTCTCTTTGGTCAATTTTAAGTGTTTAGTGCAATGAAAGACGCCTTTACTTAATCCAACGAAAAGCGTTTCGTCTGCTTTTAAACACGATATCTAATCAGTCAACACTAAAGCACATTATATTGTGCGTTTGGCAATGAAGTATCAAAAATATCATATGAATCATCGTCATTAAAAAAGTAGAGTGTCTTTAAATAATTGTTATTCTAAAATAAGTATAATATTCAAAATCATCTACTTATTTGAAGAATTAGCTATTCATTAGCATAATAGCCCTCAGGTCCCAATCTCAGCATGACGTACATAGGTGATCTGGGACCTTTTCTTTCATAAAACAAGGCAGTGCTTTCGACAGTAACAAAACGAACCTTTTTGCATGAATCCTATGCTGATAATAACGGATTTATAGCTTAAGGTTTAACCATATATAATCAGTATACAGTGATCATTATTTAGAATACATATCTGAATACTTTCTATTATAATAGCTTTTGGGCTGTTCGATATGATATGAAGAGCTACTAAATCAACATCTAGACTATCAACATGTTTTTAATAGGTTTTAGCCGAAACGATAAAGAAATATTCTTATATCCTGATTATATCTAAGCGTAACGAGTAAGGTGTTGACTCTAGTCAACCATATGTCATGTATACAACTAAAACAAGAGAAAAACAATGACTCGTTGTTGAGAATACCCTGACCGTTCTGTACTCCCATGGTATTGTGCTCTTTTCCGTACTACTGGATTTCCCATACTTATTGAGACTGAAAACTAATCCACATCATCACAGATACATTTAATACTGTTGTCTCAAAAGAGGTATTAATACCCACAACAGCAAAAGTATTCACAAAATGTGTTAGACTTCTAAATCAATACATTAAGTCATATTCTGCAAGGCAATGTATATTCCTTAGCAAGAAGTTTGAGTCAAAAGAATATATTCCCCAACATCCACTTTCATTTCTTATACATTTATGGAAACACACTTGCAAATTAAACGGTATCTCCTGACCAGATATTTTTGGACCTACGCCGATAGAGTATAAAACGAGGAATTAACATGATAACCGACTGCCAAATCGTGGGAAACTTATGTATGGATGTCAAAATAAAAAGGTGATCATTATAGTAGACAATTTAATTTGAATGCGAAAACATATACTTAAAAATATTCCCAGATTATACTCTATTCGGCGTTATACAGATATGGATCAACTGTTTACTTTTAGTAAATAACCGCGGACAACTTAGAAGATGCCGGATAAAGATGATTTGGATAAGGCAGTAAAAAAGTAACATGTTTACAGGCACGGGTAATAGATATTGGATAGACTTATGCGGATTGTACAGTCTTCTAATCATTGGATAAGATCTAGAAAAAAATACGGGATAATCCGAAAAAGCTGCCATGTCATGATACGTCATTTTATTGGATCAATTTTTGGTCTCGATTCTTTCTTGCCTGAAACCTTTGCGGTCACACACCATTATAAAAAAGCAGCTCACAATAAATCTGATACTTTTCTGCTTGCTTACCCACACTTTTATTTTTATTAAATTTAATGATTCAACAACTTCCACTTGAAATAGTTACTGCCATTGCAAACTATATCCCACTTAAAGATACTGGCGAATTTGCCAGAACGTGCCGTAAATGTTATTTTGCAGTATTGCCTCACATATGGCATGATCTTACTATCACCGACACCAAAGAACTATCAATTGTAGCCAAAAAATTACAGACCAACTCACTTTGGGCACAGCGGGCAGTTCAATTTGTACGAGATGTGTCCTTCAGCAGTAAAAACAATAAGCAATTTTCTTCCACATTAGCGGCCACTCTGTTTGGAACTACTAGCACACATACAGAACAAGAGGATGAGAAAAACGAATTTGAAAGTGTACAGCCACATGAGCGATTTGTAGCATTTGGACGTAGAATTTTAGAATTATTCCCACACCTCACCAGTTTATTGGTGGATTTCTCGGAAGCAGCACGTAACTTTTACAGTACAGAAGAAACAATTACTCGGTTACCGTTTACGGGTTCTTTTTCCTTGATAAACTACAGAGCAGATCAAACAAGGTTTATGCATAATTTAATATCACCGTTTAGGAAAATTCGTCATTTGAAGGTACAAGGGTTACAAGTGGTGTCTCTATGTGACGATATTGATGAATCTATTTTAACAAACAATGATATTGGTGAATTGGCTACATTAGGCTTAATGGATCTTGAAAGATTAGAACTGTCCTATCTCGATTTGGACATCGAGCTGAACACTATGCAACGCTTAATGCAAAGTTTACCTCATCTGCAGCATTTAGAGCTCGAATGGATTTTTCCACCCGCTAAGCAAGATTATCTTTTACTATGTAGTATGATGAAAACTTTCTCGCTGTACCCTGACTGTCTCCAAAAGAAAAACAATATTCTATTTGTTCGTTTTAGCCATTCATGAAATAAATCAATGCATTTAAAAAAAAGTCACAAACAAAGGTCACAGATTTTTTTTTCAAACTTTTCCCTTAACCTTGACAGATTTCATTAAAAAGTCTTTTCATAACAAAATTATAGATAATAAATTATGGAAGTTCATCGTTGTCGATTTGTTGAATATCAACCAGCAGCTATTAATGCTTTAGATTTTACCCCTTCTACCGTCCCAAATACTCGCTTGGCTGTCGGTAGAGCCAACGGCAACATTGAGATCTGGGATCCTACTTACAACTACAGACTCGAAAAGACTTTACCCGGTGGCGAAGATCTTTCGGTTGAGAGTGTTGTCTGGGCTCACCAAAATACTGTTGTCGATGTCGATGCCGATGACACTCCTGAAGAAATTGCTAAAGAAACCGAATTATTATTACAAAAGCCCCCTCGTCTTTTTTCTTCTGGATTGAATCCCTATATTATTGAATGGGATACTACCACCATGACAGCAAAGGTAATAAAAAAACAGAAAGAGAGAGCGGGCATTATCAAGCACATGCATGCTAAAAATCAAGTTAATGTAGAAATCGTGTGATTCTAACGGTGGTGCCGTGTGGTGTTTAGCTGTCAACAGCAAAGGTACTCGTTTAGCAGCTGGTTGTGAAGATGGTTGCATTCGTATGTTTGATATTGCTGATGGTGCACTTGAATATATCCGTAGTTTCGAACCTCAAAAGGGTCGTGTCTTGTCCGTCTCTTGGGCTCCCAATGATGCATATATCGTTTCTGGTGGTTCTGATTCCGCTATTCGTACATGGAATCCACTTACTGGTCGTACTATCCATCGTATGACTGTCGCAAAGAACCGTAAAGACCAAACTTTAGTTTGGGCTGTTGCTGCTCTCAAGTAAGTTGGCACACCTGTTTAGAAAGAGAGAGAATCCCACATAAATATTTTATTATGTTATGCTAAACACTATGTTATAGGGATGATACAATTGTTTCCGGAGATTCACTTGGCACTATGACATTTTGGGACAGTAAATTAGGCACAGTAAAGCAATCTATCCGCGCCCACGGAGCAGATATTCTTTGTATTGCAGCATCCAAGGACGGTAAACAAGTATTCTCTGCTGGTGTGGATCGTAAAATCACAGCTTTCCGTCGTACAACAGGCTCAAAGAATAAGAAGGCCGATACAGTGAATGATTGGATTAATGTTGGAAGTCGTAGATATCATTGGCACGATATTCGTGCGCTTGCACTTGATGAAAGACCCAAAATTAACTCAATTGTTTCTGGTGGTGTTGATGTTGAATTAGTCGCTTGTCCTGCTGCCGAGTTCCCTAAATTAATCCAAAACAGATTACCCCCTTTCCCTCACAAGTACATTGTTTCCCTTTCAAAGTCACACAAGCTTATCATGTCTGCCTTCTTCAACTCCATTTCACTCTGGAGATTAGGTGAAGCCGAGAAAGTCGAGCTTAACGCAAAGAATCCTTCCCTTCCTGAAATGGTGCAACCTCATCAACTTGCACTTGAGCTTAAGTTAAAGCCTGATTGTAATATCACCTCCAGCGCGCTTTCTGAAGATGCTAACTGGATTGCTGTATCCGATGTGGAAAATACTAGACTTTTCAGAGTCAACCAAGGATCTGAACCTGGTCAATTAGAAGTCAAGAAACAAAGATCGTTTGAAAGAGAATTGAATAATTATTTAGGCCAACATCATGCTGCTCCTGGTGCTCATCATGTCTTGTTCACACCCGGTTCTGATAAATTAATCATTGTCACAGCTGAATCTCGTATTCTTATTGTGGATCTTTCAGCTTGGGAGGAAGGTAGATTCGAAGTTTTACGTGAGTTTGGACACCATCGTGGTTTGGACAGTGAAGGAAATACATCAGATGATTATGCTATTGCTACCGTTGTCACAATCAATGTCAGCTCTGATGGACAATGGTTAGTGACTGGTGATGACGAAAACCGTATTCATGTATTCAACTTAGACAGCTTAAAGGTAAAGGACAAAAGAGAGAAAATAATTGGATTTAGTTTTGGAAAACTGACTTGACAATTATGATAGCATCACCTTAAACTTCCTCAAGGAAATATCCCTCATACAGCATTATCATTTAACGAATTCCGACCAAACGAATTATTAGTTGCTTTGGCCACCAACGCCATCTTTATCTACGATGTCGAATACAAACGATTAACAAATTGGTCCATGAGACACCAAGATATGGCTAAATGTCGACTTTTAGAGCAAAGAGATCGTATTCGTGGCGCCATTTATAATCCAGCCGATAAAAACAAGATTATTTTATACGGTAGTACATACATGTGTCTTTTGGACGCTGAAGATAAACCCACCAAGAAATCAGGAAAGAGAAAGAATAACGAAAAACCAAAACCAGCTTCTGATGACGAGATTCCCGTTTCCATTTCCTACCAATATCAACAAATTTTGGCTTGTGGCTTCATTGGTGAGAACCAATTGGTCATGATCGAAAGACCCAAGTTTAGTGTCTTAGAAAAGTTACCACCTTCTTTTTACAAGGCCCATTTTGGTGCATAAAATTTGTAGTAATATTATAATGAAAATAAAAAAAATAATTGTAGATTTTAAGTTTATTTAAGTCCCTTTACAAATGTATCATCCGCTTGTTCGAACGCTGTTAATCCTTCTGCATCAACTAATGTTGTATCAATACCTCTGCTGATCAATAACTTGGCAACTTCTAATTGTTCTGATATGCATGCTATAAAACAAGTCAGTTATCTGCCTTTGTTATATCCCCTCTTTGTCTCACCTAAATGAAGCGCTGATTCGTCATCATTTGTTCTAATGTTTAAATCTGCTCCTGAATCAATCAAAAAGGTCACAATATCCAAATAACCTCGATCTGCCGCTAAATGAAGCGCAGTGTATCCATCTTCATCTTTGCTGTTTACATCTACCTTCTCTTCAACCGCTGATATCAATTTCTCGAGGTTGTTTTCTCGAGTGTATCCAAATATATCGTCTGATACTCTAAAATTGTACGCTCAGCTCTTCCACCTCTTTAACACTTCTAAAGAACTTACATTGTTTCCTCTACCGCCATTGTACTCACAGCATTGTTGCTTAAACCATCACCCTTCTACTTTTATAAATTACCAAACTATTCGATCAAATCTTTCAAGAGTTTTACCTTAAGTTCTTCAGGGGAGGGGATGTACTCGTATTCACCTTGACGTGACCAACCTGCATTCAGTGCTTCCACAGCTTCAATATACAAATTTCTGGCATCTCTGAATCCTAGTCCCTTAAAAGAATTCCAAGCATCGTATTTTGCTCGAAGTACAAACTCAAATAGCCCGGGCTTTTCAATATTCACATCGCCAATCGTAGCTTGTTTAAAAAGTCCATAAAACTATAGTGCTGTCAATATAAAAGAAAAAAATAAAAAATAAAAAGGGGGGGGGGATAGGTCTCTTACATGTAATTTCTTGTCGTTTGGTAAAGGAATGTCATGTTTATTCATGTACGTAAAGGCTTGTTCAAACCATTGATCGTCTTGACAAATCTCATCCATGATGACAAAAAAGTAAAAAGAGCACAAAAAATAAAATAAAAACTGGTCACTTTTTTATAGGCAGAGGTTTTATTATTTATTTTGACAGACCCGAATAATTTAAAGGTGTTTATCTAATGAAGCAATGTGATAACTCACATCATAAACCATAGCAAACCAAGGCAAAGCATAAGCATCGTAATTTTCTAAATTAAACGAAGATTCATCGTCAAAATCAATGGTGTTGGTAATTCTGCCATTTCTCGGCAAGAATTGTTCTTGCATAAACTTTTGCTTCACCACTTCTTCCAAACACGCCTTAAGCATCTGGCGAGACTCTCTTGAGACATGAACATTGGCTGATAGTGATAGAACCAAAAGAGTATTGATCGCATGAAACATAAAGTCACATGCTGCTAGCTTGTAGTAACCTAAGCAAAAACAAAAAAAATTGATCAGCGATTCTACAACACATATACACATATACGTATACTTACATAGAGATGTACCTTCCGCTATAGCAGATATTCGACTAACTGCATGGATCAATACATGACCGGCTGTTAGCGATTTTTCTAAAGAACGCTGTTGGACAATCGAAAGTAACTGGTCATTGTCTCCTAGCGTGATAGGGTGTAGAAGACTAGAATACACGCTAACGATGAACGATTGATAATGAATAAATGATATTAACATGACACAATCGGTTGTATTATCAATGATCTCTAGTAATGCGTCCGTATCATTCATGTCTGTGCACAATTTAAATACTTCTGGTGCATGTGAGCCCCATTCTAATAAAACGCCTTCAAGACGAATCAGCGATTCCAAACTAAGCGTAGATTCATACCCTGATTGAATTTTATTAATACTTTTCTACACAAAGGGTTATTTAGCACAAAGGGACCCCGATCGATTGTTATGTTATATATCTTACCAGGAACTCTTTTACAAAAGTGTGATTGTACAATTGCAATACCCAATTCTGCGCCTTGACGAATTTCTGTATTTCATCCGATTCGTCAGACATGAATTTCCATTCTGGAAGACAAAACAGGACATCGTGTCCGACATTACTCGATATATAATTCATGAACCTGTTGACGTAGGAAGTCATTGTGATGTGCCGTGAATAGAGCATCTGGTATAATTCATCTCTTTCGCTGTTATCGTGATAAAGGTCAACGCATATTTGGTATGCCAATCCTATTAGTTTCCGAGACTCGTTGTATTTCAATGTCATATGCATGTATTTGGTGAGCAGATTGATGCTCATCACATTTTCTAACCGTTTTTCGGGTAGGTCAAACTGATCTAGTATAATTGACTTTGCCCTATTATGAAAGTAATCTCCTAGCATTCTTCGTTCTGACGGCAGGCATGGGATATGATCGCAAGGACTTGCACAAACATTGGCGCATATGCTAAGCGATAAAAGATCGTTTTCGGGATGTTCGAGTTGATTAAATGTTTCCATAAAAGAAGTTTTATGCAGCAATGGTGTGTATGAGTAATGGCAATTGAAGTAAATTTCGACTAATTGGCCGATTGTCATGACAACTGCGTCTAAATTCCAGTTATTAGGTAAATCAAACGAAGCATTTTCGTTCGATGGTTTTTTAGAATTTTGTACCAGCAATCTCAAGGTAAATGGGATCAATAACTGCCGGGTGGTATTGCGACTGAATTGAATCATTATTTGATTTTCTGAAAAAGGTGACAAATAGGACACACGGTTGGCTTGAAATGACATGAGATCCGTAATATTTTGGATACCTGTCTCTATCCGAAACGTCCCATTTTCTAGTTGCACTTTCCACTGGTGCATCACATTTTGAAGTTTATTTGTATTTCTGCGCCGACAGCTGGTACGTAACTGAATTTCCATATTCTTCACAGCGCTCTCGAGTTTTTTAACCTGCTTTTGTAGGTCGTCAACAATGTCTTCCTCATCGTCTTGATCTGAACTACTTTCAGGTGTGCATTCCTTTTCAAATCGTTCGCACCTTACACATTTATGGGATTGTGTTGGGACACATTTACGACGGCTCTTTCGACATTCTATATATACGTAAAAAGGGAACAGGTTAACTAGAGTGCTCAACGAAATTACAAAAGTGGCTCTTTATACCAGCACAAGGTACAATTCGATCCTTCATAAAGAATTGGCAAAAAAAAAAAGAAAGCGCCTTCTGAGACTTACACTCCGGGGTCGGAATATCAAGTTTCCATTTCTCCCTTTGCTATGATTCATAAAAAGCGGGTTGATTAATGCTGTGAAACAGTCGTCTATCAGGTAGTTAGATTCATTCCAATTCAATACAATAGCTTGTAATTATTTCTGCTCAAGTACATTTATTCGTTGATTGTTCTGTCTAAAGTACGGCATAAAGGTTCCCGCCTCTTTGTTTATAACGTTAACAATTAGGCCTCCTTTTATATAAAATGTAACTTAGAGGAGTACAGATTTCCAATTTTGGTGTTATTTTTTTTTCTACAAGAATATTGTAAATATGTCAAGTTTTGGTAAATATTTAGCAGTAAATTAACCCTGAATGATGTCAACTAATGTATTACAGTAGGTAGTTTCCAGTATAACGTAACAACCTGTCACGAAGATTCCAATTTCTATCGCGGTTTAAATTACTTTAAAAACACAGATTATCAGGAAGCCATGACGTTCTTCAAGCTGGCCAAAAAAGAGAGAAACGGGACAACGCCTGCTTATGTTTTTTTGGCTGTCATGTATTTTGTTGGGTTGGGTGTAGCACGAAATCCTAAAAAGGCAGTTTATTATATTAATAGGATTCATGGCCAATACGGGTGTCGTGTGGCAAATTACATTCTTGGATTAATGTACAAAAATGGTGATTATGTCGAAAAAGACTTTCAAGAGGCCGTTGCACAATTTGCGGCTACCTCAAAGTATGAATGGGCCAATACTCACATTGCTGAAATTTATCAAATTTTGTCCGCCGTCGGAAAAGAGGGGAGTATAGATTGGCATGGAGATGTTAGACGTATGTCAAAAAATAAAGCCCAGGCTTCAGGTACAGAGGCAGACATGCAGCTATTATTCACTCTTGTTAGAAACTATGAAGAAAATGACTACATGTACGATTTAAAAAAGAGTGCCGTCTTTTACCAGCAACCGTTTAAGTATATCAGTCAAAAACTATGTGAATTGGGTTCAAAGCTTATGTGTTTTAGACCTGTATTGATTTGAGACATTCTTTAACTTTAAATAAAACTTTTTAATGTCAGCATCTACTCCTCAATCTTCCTTTTTTCTCTTTTTTTAAAATGTCTGCTGCTATTTCATACACTGGCGGAAAAGACTGTACTTTAGCTTTACATCGCGTCATCGAACAGGGCATCAAAGTTAATGTGCTTGTGACCTTTAGTCCTCCTTCGACTGATCCCAGATCTTTCAAGGCACATTCGTTTGACATCATTGAGAAACAAGCAGAGGCGCTAGGTTTGGCACACACCATTTGTATTATTGATGGCCCTGATTACCTTGCTAGTTATCAAGGAGAGATTAAGAAACTTGCTGACACTTATGGCATTACCAAACTTGTGACTGGAGATATTTTACCTGTCTGCAGTAACTTTATGGAGCGTGCTGTAGAAGGCACTGGTGTAGAACTGGTCCGACCTCTTTGGGAACAGCCTCAACAAGATTTACTTAACGAAATGTGGGAACGTCAATTTGATATACTGGTGACATGTGTTAATTTGGAAAAGATTCCTAAGAGCGTTCTAGATAAGGTTCAAGATGTGTATGGCGTAGGTAAACCATTGACACAAGCAGGGTTAGATGCTATTATCAAAGAGGACAAGAATATCAGTCCTACTGGTGAATCTGGTGAATTGCACACCATGGTTATATGCTGCCCTCTTTACAAAAACGTCAGAATTAATGTTGAAAGTGAAATCCTTCAAGAGGATATATTTTTATTTTTAAAGATTAAGGGTGTTCAACTTGTTGATAAATAAATTAATTATTGGATTTTTTCTGTAACGTTGGTTCTGAAGAAGACATTTGGGTCGTTTCCACCTAAGATGATGTTGCCTCTAGGTTCATATTCACAGACATATAAACCACCTTGAATATTATCACATTGAGTAACACCACAACCAATCTTCTTGGTGTTGTGCCAGACAACTTGGGTAAAATGACCGGTATAGGGATCAAATCCAGGCTTGCTGAAATCATAATCCTTGATCTCACTGTACCAAGCCTCAACAGTTTGCTTCCAATCGTTGGTACGACCGGCAATGTTTTCACCGTGAGGGCTCTGGTGATGGTAAATTAGTATTTTATATCTATCCGTATCATCTTGGTATGTCACTCACGGTACTGTGATTGATTTCACAATTGGTACTCCAGTCATAAGCATAAGCAGCAATCTCCTCATCCCAGACAACTGGCTCGGCACCATGACTCTTTCTGAGCTCATTATGGGCATCCAAGATTGTCTTGATATCTTCCTCAGAAGCCATCTCTCTCTTGACTAAACAGCTGACAGATGTAGCGAGCAAAGCGGCAATTAATAACTTAAGCATGAGAATCGATATAGAATCTTTATGTTATAAAACTTGAGCTCTTATATACTCTGTTTGTTCTTGCATTCTGTGTTCACATTCTATGCTAACATTCTATGGGATTTTTTTCTGGGATTTTTCAACATTCTACTTTCGACGTCATTTCTTTGTTTTTATTAGAATTATGCAAAAATAGGACATTTTGACATGCTTGAACTAGCGGTTTAGCCATGACGGGATATAAAAAAAACATCATCTCACGATCTCTTGATACAATAAGAAGTGTGATCCCGATTTCAAGAAAAGTGAAGTCAGCAATTAGAATTACGGCTGTTGGGCGTTTTGTAATTTGAATAATCAGGCCAAAGAAAAATAAACTGAACACAATTATTTATTTTTTTATACCCGAAGGTGTGGTTTTTGACATTTAAAAGCTTATTATAAATAAAATTAAGGTATCCCCATATAACTCAAAAAGTCTAAAAAAATTAAGTACAGAAAAAATAAGAAAGCAGCAATTGACTGTCTAGCACCAAAAACACCAAAACATATTTGCGAGTGCATAACGTAAAACCCTAAGGAAGCATATTGCTTGTGTGGTATTGCAAGATAATAGCAGGCATTCCTTAAAAAGGAGAATAAGTGTTGTAGTTGGCACTGGCGGAGAGTGAGTGATTTAGCTACATAATTTAAATCATAACGAGTATCTAAGAGTTCAATAACTTTGTTTAAATTCACATGTTTTACAGTGCTTCCAACAAGCAATGTCGCAGCCAATCAAAATCGATGTCGCAGGCCAATCAAAATTAATTTCATATTTTCGGAAATAGGAATCGTTATTTTTAGAAACCATGTCGCCTGTTTAGAAAGGAAATGTCTAGAACTCCGTATTTTTTTCAAACGTATTTTTTCAAACGTGATGGTCTACACGTCGATTGACATGCCATATCATCTAAACTTCATTGGATGATCGTTTTCTGTTTTCCATAAAATCTGCTTTACTGCCATTACAAGCTACTACTGGAATGCAGATAGACAATTACCAAGCTCTGACTTGCTTGGTAGGTTTTTGCAACTGTTTCTATTTTAAGTAAAGGCTCAAATATTATGGATGATAAAATAGACAAATGAAATCATCCTGACATAAGCTTGTTTATCAATAAATAAAGCTGGTTCACACACTTTGTTCTTCTCCTTTTCTTTTTCCTTAACATACTTCTTTTATCGTATGAAAGTAACCGATCACATAAAAAGGTTAGTTTAGTAGTGACTCTTGTTTCTTTGAAAAGAAGCTAAATCGAAAAAGATATATAATTGTGATATTGCGGCTGCGGCTAGTCTTTGCAATAGGAGGGCGACCTCCTAGGCAGAGTTCTTGAGTTTTTGGAACTCACGAACCGTGAATAGCTGGGATTGGACTGTAAATAGGTGCAATCATACTGGTCTGCCAGAATTCCTGTAAGTGGTACAAAAAAAATACGTTTGAAAAAAATACGGAGGTCTAGACATTTCCCTAAATTTTGGGTTTCCATATTTTAACAATCTATTCTGTAGCGTTCGTAACGGATACTTCCGACTCGGTCAAGGCATACTGGAAATATTTACAACATGATACCAAATACATAACAATTGGATACGCACGTAAATCGCCAACTGACGAAACAAAAAAATCACGAATACGTTTATTACAGTTAATGGTGAACAAACTATACTTCCGCGGAAAGTGCGAAGAAGTATTCGTGAGCCCAATTTGCAAAGCAGACCAACCAATATTAGAAAGAGACTCGCCAAAGCAGGATGATTTACTGCTGCATTTAAAAGGATCCCATGGCGATATCTCAGGTACATCAAGGTTCAGTATAATAGTTATAATAACTGAAGATTTCCTATAGATTTAGTTGCACGCGTCCATTTCAGCCAAAAACTTTTCCGCCTTGTCATCATTGACTACGCCGGGCTTTCAACGTCACCAAATGATATTAGGATTTTTTTGGAGTAAGTCGAAAAGAATACTGATTGCAGCAAGTTTTTTTATGCTAATTAATTTGAATACTAGACAATGCAGCAATATCAAAGAAGTTGTTGTAGACCATGGCTCTTCGTTTGAGATCTTATCACGTTTTGATCTTTTGAAAAATATGAAGCTGGAAAAATTTAAATGTCGACATGCCAACGTTAAACGATCAAAGTAATTTTTTTTTCGTGCTAATGGTTTGTCTAATAAAAAACGAAAAAGAAGTTGTTTATTGCAAGTTTATTTTCCCTTTTTTTTTAAAAAAAAATAAAGTGCTTACGCCGCAGTAATCCAATTTGATATTGTAATGACATGTTGATCTTTGGGAAATTTGAAAAGAATACAATTAGGTCGCTCTCATTGAAAAGATGACGTATGTTATTTTGAATGAGAGCGACCATTTTTCGATGCAATGGCTACTTATCATCCATGGCGTGTATGTATAAAAAAAAATAACTGTCCACGATGCTATTAACATGAACTGCCAGATTTCTCCCATCATTTGCGCGCAGTTGAAGTGTCCTACATCTTTTCTGAAGTGTCCTAGATGATCCCTACTTGGCCCATAAAATTTTTGCAACGAACGGTGCTAAAACCTCCTTTCGGCCTGTTAATAATTTCGGTGATGAACATTATAGCTTTCATGGAAAGTAAGCGTTTTACTTTCTGGAGTTTCAATATACGTTGAAACTAACATGGATTCTTAGAGGCATGATTTTCTCTCAACCAGATGGTCTAGGACCAGATCCAAGATCTGTTGGTAATTATACAATCACTAATATTCTTACACATATTTAAATAACTCTGTTGTTCAAATTTTAGTTTCATCCATTATGGGACCTAAACAAATTTTCAAATATATGGATTCAATCGAACGTGAAGCCAATGATTTAGTCAACAGGTGCATTGATCATACCGAAAAAAATGGTGGTACACATCCAACTCAATTTTTTGCTCTAAATTCTATAAATGTTATGGTCTCTGCACTATTCGGCAAGAGGTTTAACTCTGTTCAAGATCCGGAATTTATTCAGTTGTCAAGCGTAGTGGAAGAAAGCATCAAGTTCAGTGGATTGGAGTCTGATTTAGCTAATTTTCTTCCGACATTTTCTGTGTACAATTACTTGACTGGTACAGAAGCTAAAATGAAGCACCATATTATCAAAAGCTGATTAAGGAAGCTGCCGCACGCGATGGCCCGAATGCTGTTAAATATCTTTTAGAAAGTGATTTTGATTTACTAGAGGAAGATTTGATTAAATTTATGTGTGAGTAATATGTTTAAATAGTTGCTTTACTATAAGCAGATATTAATTCAGGACTGTAGCCGATCTTATAGTAGCAGGAATGAATACGGTTACCCTTACTTTGACTTGGAATGTTGCAATTATGTGTCACATTATCCGGATGTCCAGCAAAAAGTGTGAAGAGATTGATCATTTTATGAAAAGTCATGGGCGACTTCCTCAGTTTAAGGAAAGAGAAGAGTTGCCCTATTGCATCTCTGTTATCAAAGAATGTATGCGCTATAAGCCAACAACTCCGTTTGGTTTAATTCATGCTATCCGTCATGAACGTAGGTGTAGTTAGTTAATCAGCCGATGTGCAAAAAAAAAAAAAAAAAAAAAAAAAAAAAAATTGACAGATTTTTTGGTCAAGGTTGATGGTTATACAATTCCCGAGGGTTCTAGCATAATATCAAACATGGATAGTACCCATAAACGGCCTGAAATCTATCCCGAACCTGCCTTTCTTGGGTGAGCTTGCTACAGAAGATTCCGGTTTAAAGTTTTTAAGGTATCCATTTACTCGCACAGTTTTGCATCCCGGAAGAACCATAATGTTATGTGCAAAAATCAACTCATATTTAGCGCAAACAGCTTAAATTTTATCCATGTTAAAGAAAGAACCAAAAACAGCATCTTTTGACTCGGTTGCTATTTGACGTGATCTAATAACTTCGTTATTAAAGTTATATAAATTCATTGGTTTCTTTATCTATGCCCATAAGGAAACAACTCTATGTGAAGATGCAATGGTAAATAATGACTAAAATGATGTATCATTGCCTAGAATAATAAGCTTTTTTTCTTCTATTAACTAAAAAAAAAACTTTAGTGTGATTAAGGACTAAGACGACTAATTATGGTATTTGATGCAGGCCGGATTGTATTTGATATTTTTATTTTATTATCTAACGACCTTTCATAGATATGCTTGTCTTTTCTTTGTTTCTTACAATGAGTATTACGTTTATCCAAAAAAAAGTCAGAAAATAAACCATGATATACGTTTTCTTCCATGTAAATGCCAGTATTGTCATACTCGTTTAAAGTACTGATAGAAAAGCATACATATGTTTATACATATTTCGTACAGCGTACTGGTATAGTAAAAACTCGTTTAAACGACTCCCGCGGGTGTAAACTCTATACTGTCCCTGGGGATCGGCGATCCCTTTAGAGGTATGCATTGTGCAACCTAGCTGGAGCCCTTTTTTTTTTTTTTTTGCCTGTAGTTACGGAGTAACCTGTTCAAGGAACTAGGCACGGGACGATATTAAGTTCAAGGAAAAAAAAGTACCCCGTAGCTGTGAAAAACAAATAGACGCCCGGTTTGACATATAAGGCAGACCAAGTATGGTATAGTATATTATGATAGTACAGAGAGGAAATGGAGGGCTGCAATGCCGTTTGCGGAAGCACAAACAGGAAGTGACATTTGTGACCCGGGAAGATTGAATTATCATGGGCTCGGAAACGGAACAGTGTCGGTGGGTGTTTGGGGGAGGGCTACCACGATATTTTCCTTACTAATGGTCTCATGGCAATGCAAATTTTTGTACCGAGGCGTTGTGAGTACGGGTATTCTCAAATGACTGGATACCTTGATCACACTTTCTCATGCTAACCAATAGAAAGACATTATATAAAAGAAAGGCAGTGTTTTGTTATTTTTTGAACCTTTTGTTATTTATTCTGTAAACACAATGGCCAGTACTAGTAATGCAGCATATGAGTTCTCAGAAGTGCGCTCGACGCCCATTCAGTATTCGAGATCTAATAGATCCTCATCGGAAGAAGAGAGCCCGAGAAACGATTTATGCTCAGTCCATTCAGGACGACATGGCGTGTTTTATTTTAGTACGCCTTTGCCCAAACAAAAGCATGAGCCCTACCAATATCACGGCGCAGCATCTTCCGCTAAAAGTATCAAGAGCGTATTTAGTATTGGACGGTCGTGGCGCCAAAAAAGAATGAATATTTTATTAAAAAAGAAACCGTATTTACCAGACACTGAAACTGAAGCGTTTTGCGAGGGCTGTGGAAAATACATCACCACTCGGATTCGGTATCGAAACGGAACCTATGTATGGCTCATGTCATTTATTCTGTAAGTGTATATGTGAGCATTTAAATGTATAATAAACACTCATTCTATTGCAGTCTTTTATGTACAGCCATATTATTTTGGATCCCCTTTTATGTAAAGTATTTCAAAGGTAAAAATATATGTAATGTAACACAATCGACGAAAAGATATTAAAATCCAAATTATAGATGTAGCTCATTTTTGTCCGGGATGTGGTAAACGGATAGGTGTATCTCGTCGCTTGTAGCACATTAAAAACACGAGTAAATAAACATGTAAGACATGATTTAAATAGAAGCACCTTATCTTTATATTATTCAGGAGATTTTTTTTTTCTTTGTAAACAAAAGGGGAGCCAATTCCAGCTTATTTCCTTGCACGTGTAAAGGATCGTCATGGAAACTAAAACGGGGGCTCGCTATAAGTGGGGTTCTATATTTAAACCGGAGCCAAAATCTGGTTTATTTATAATCATTATAAGCCCAATGAAATATAGGTTCCTCCCTACTAGTTTCATTTCTTTTTTTTTCTTTTCTTTCTTTCCTTTAGAAAAAAAAATATTTTAATAAGTAAATAATATGGTTGACGTCAAGAGTATTTGTTGTATTGGTGCTGGTTATGTTGGTAAGTCTTTCTTGTAAGAACACAAAAAGAGTAGATGCTCATCATCTTCTTTCAGGTGGTCCCACTTGTGCTGTCATTGCCTACAAGTGTCATGACATTAAGGTTACCATTGTCGATTTAAACCAAGCCCGTATTGATGCCTGGAACTCTGATAAGCTTCCTATTTATGAACCTGGATTAGAGGAGGTTGTCTTTGATCGTCGTGGTAAGAACTTGTTCTTCACCACTGATGTTGATGCTGCTATCTTGGAAGCTGACTTGATTTTCGTCTCTGTCAACACTCCCACCAAGAAGACCGGTATGGGTGCTGGTATGGCTGCTGATCTTGCGTAAGTAATTTGCCTTTTTTGTTTATGAGTTCTCATTTTGGACTCACATTTTTTGTTCTAGTTATATTGAAGGTGCTACTCGTCGTATTGCCGAAATTGCTACCAGCTCCAAGATTGTTGTCGAAAAGTCCACTGTCCCTTGTCGTACCGCTGAGAGCATGCGTACCATCCTCGAAGCTAACTCTACTGGCTCTATCCATTTCGATATCTTGTCTAACCCCGAGTTCTTGGCAGAAGGTACTGCCATTAAGGATCTCCTTAACCCCGACCGTGTATTGATTGGTGCCCTCCAAACCCCCACCGGTCTCTCTGCTCAACAATCTTTGGCCAACGTCTATAAGCACTGGGTTCCTGAGGATCGTGTTATCACCACTAACCTCTGGTCTTCCGAACTCTCCAAGTTGGTAAGTTTTTTTTTTTTTTTTTTTTTTTTTTTTTTTTTTTTTTTCTAAGAGAAAGGAGTGGCAAATTAATTAATATAAAAATTTAAATTAGGCTGCCAATGCTTTGCTTGCCCAACGTATTTCTTCTATCAACGCCCTTTCTGCTATCTGTGAAGCTACTGGTGCTGATGTTGATGAGGTTGCATATGCTTGTGGTCGTGATAGCCGTTTGGGTTCCAAGTTCTTAAAGGCATCTGTCGGTTTCGGTGGATCTTGTTTCCAAAAGGATATCTTAAACTTGGTCTATCTCTCCACCCAATTAAACTTACCCGAAGTTGCTGATTACTGGCATCAAGTTGTCTTGATGAACGAATACCAAAAGAAGCGTTTCGTTCGCAAGATCATCTCTACTCTCTTCAATACCATCACAAACAAGAGAATTGCCGTTCTCGGTTTTGCCTTCAAGAAGGATACCGGAGATACTCGTGAATCTGCTGCCATCACATTAATCAAGGATTTCATCCAAGAGAATGCTCATGTTGCTATTTATGATCCTAAGGTTGAGCCCGAACAAATTTATATGGATCTTATGGAACCCGGTGTGGTCGATACCCGTAAGCAAGTTGAGAAGAGCATCAGTATCTGTGGTGATGCTTATGAGGCCTGTAAGGGTGCCGATGCCGTTGTTATCGTCACTGAATGGGACGAATTCAAGTCTGATCAACTCGATTATCAAAGAATCTACGATAACATGCACAAGCCTGCTTTCTTGTTTGATGGTCGTTTGTTGTTGGATGCTGCTCAAATCCGTGAAATCGGTTTCAAGGTCCATATCATTGGTAAGAACGAGCTTGCCGGTACTGCTTAAAATACAAAACAAAAAATAATAGATATTTATACACCCCTCATTTTGTGCATTTAAAATAAATAAACCAATATATAAAAAAAAAAAGACCAAAGGTCTCGATGAGTCTTCCTGCATTCTAATTGTGTAACAGTCTTAGCACAGACCATTTTGGTAGTTTATTAGTAAACAACGTGAATTAATGTTACATGAGCAGTAAATTGTTCTTTTATTAAAATGGAGTTATGAGGAGGGATAATTAAAATGGGTTAAATGCAAATAAGTAATTTTCTATAGTTCTTCTAAAGGCGACGATCTGGGGAATCTTCTAAATCTTTAATGACAGCGACGACGACACTGATATCGTCGGCTTTACCACCTTCAACATAAAGTCCTTCTTCCATGGCTCTTCTTTGGAAAGGGGTATCTGCTCTACGAGACTCGCTCACTTCTTTGGCTGCATTGGCCAAGATATCAGACAAGATCTGGGGCTGTAAGTTACGGACGCGAGGAGCACGTTCAGCAGAACCAGGGATGGTATGCGCTAAAACATGCTTCTTTACTAATTCCAAGATATGCTTATCAAATAAGTTGTCATACAATCCGTCGGAACCCATAATGATGATATCACCCTTTTTGACCTTGACAGCAAATGATTGAGCATGTCCTGGTTCATCGCGAGATTTGATACCCAGCTGATAAGGGAAGTTGAACGAATGTTGTTGTTCTTCACTTCTAAACACGTAATGGTTGTTGCGAATAATTGAAATCCCACAATCACCAATGTTGGCCACCCGTAATTCATCGTGACGTAACACGGCAATACAGGCTGTTGTCGAACCAAGAATGTTGTTCTTTTTGGCGACTGATAAACTCTTCTCGTAACTACGCTTTAATATATCGATAGGGTTGGCTTCATTGTATTGAAGGAAACAAGGATCTTCGATATCTTCAAAACGATCCATTTCTTCATTGGCAAAGTGCATTAATTGACTTGAGTACAAGGCCGAGTTTGAACCTTGATATAGAAATTGATCCGGTTAATACATGGTTACACATGGTGAAAAAAAATTTTTTTTTTCTATTTACCTGCAGTCTCTGACCAGCCACCAATACCATCGGCAACACCGATAGCATCAGCACGTCTAAAATACGCATCTTCACCAACTTGCGAACTAACAGAAGAATGAGAGGTTGAGGTATGTACAGGGGTATATCTCTTCTTTGCGAATCCAGCTGCTCCGTGACCAAGCACGAAGGATTTTTTGGCTTTGGTTTGAGCGAAAAAGTCAAAAACAGGTAATGATTTTTGGTCTTGTAAGATCTTATTGTAATGGTGGTTATTCAATGCTGAAGGTGAAATTGATTTAGAGAACTGACGGGAGCCCGCCACTCTCGCCACGTTGGTTGATTGTGTTAATGATGAAAGCATTTCTATTTGTTTGTGTTTAACAAGATGAAAAAGGTGAGAAAAATGAGGGGGATCTGTATTTATATCAATCTGAGCCCTTATTATTTTTTTAAACCTCAGTCCCGATGTGATACGATAGTGAGAAAAGAGGAAATCGCACTCCCCAAACCTATACAGGTAAACATTGATAGTCCTATTTTTCCCTTGCTTTATCTATAATTATCTCCTAATTGTATAATCAACCGGTTTTATCACTTATTTATAGCAACCGCTTTATTGTTTATCGTCTAGACAAATTCAGGACTTATTCTTTCTTTCCCTTTTGTGTCACCTATAGATTGTGTGGGTTTGAATTTTCTTTTGGACTTTACTCTCAGCCAACCATCGCTGTCCGTTTCAAATTAATCTAACATCGCAGTAACCCTTTAGTCCCAAAGTTTCGCACGCAGTTCCAGAAATTTCTTTTTGGAATTTAAGCCACTTACATTTTCTGACTTAATTGTCTCAGTTTTGCGATGGGAATAACAAGCCAATCAAGCCTTAAACACCCTTCGATTACGTAAACAGGTAAATCATTTTGGCATAAGAGCATACCCAGCAGTGCCTGGTAAAAATCACTTGAGTTAGGTTTTTTTTCTGAAAAAGAACACTTTGGAATGTATGTGAAAAGTTTTCCAAATTTTTCGCTAAATTATACGCGCACCATACTTTTTGACGGAAAAAAAAAAATCGGCGCACCATACTTTTCTGTGCCGGTCAAATAATATATTCCGGGTCGGGCCAATAAGTACTTTTTCGGGTGGGAATAACAAGCCAATCAAGCCTAAAAACCCTTCGATTATGTAATTAAAAAAAAAAAAGGGCGCTAAAAACATCACGTTTTAGATTATACACTTACGGCATATGGAATCTACGAAACTTGCCATGAACTAGTTTTCGTTGCGATTATGCAATAATTTTTTTAAACTTTTCTTTAAGCGGTGATGCTATGACGGAAAACTTTGATTTTAAAGATAGGATCATACGGGGCAAGCATCAAGTTCGATGTGATCAAAACAGTTGTAAAGGGAAGCATGAGTGTATTGATAATCAACAAAGAATGCATAAAAACAATTTATATTGCGAACCTAAATATGTTTAAACATTACGCAACTCCATGATAAAAACTTCATGATAAAAACATTAGATAATAGAGCTAGATAGAACCAAACATTGCTTACTCTTATGATGTAGTCTACTACGTAACCATTAAAATCGAGAAAATGTATATACCACCCCTCTTTTTCAAATATAGTAATTACCACCCCTGTTCGGTCACGCCGGACAGTAAATGTCCGGTGGAAGTGGATCACTTAATACGCATTTATTAGGCTCAATTGTGGATCACTTAATACGCATTTATTAGGCTCAATTGTGGATCACTTTATACGCATTTATTAGGCTCATTTGTGGATCACTTTATACGCATTTTTTAGGCTCATTGTTGGATCACTTAATACTAATTTTTTAGGCTCATGTATAGTGTATTTTTGGATCACTTAATACTTAGTTTTTAGGCTCATGTACAGTGTATTTTTGGATCACTTAATACCTATTTTTTAGGCCTATGAACCAGGTCCGAATAATTGTTTGAGGAGGGGCGGGGGGATTTAGGTACCATTTTGCTTTTTCCATTTTACAATTTACAACGATTATATAAATAAACAATCAAGAAAGTATTGCTGAAGGCGAGAGTCTTATTGTTCCTAAAAGAGTAGAAGTAGCCCCAAGAAATCCTTTAATCGAGATACTCTTCATAAAATTGAACCAGTCAAAGAATGAAGTATCACTTGAGGAAGTTGATGTCGAAGATGTTGATGACACATTAATTAAAGACAAGTTGACATGTGGTAAGTGCCATAAGACGTTCAACTCGAGATCATCCCTGATCAAGCACTTGAAGGTCAAACACCATGTTGTAATCGTTGGTGTCAAGCATGGGCGTCCTGACCAAGGTGGAAGGCTTGCATACTGTATCCGCCAGCAGCAAAAGAAGGCCGATAGAAATTCCGTTTTGAGAGTCGACGAAAAAAAATTTAAGAAGCAAATAAGGAAACAAATCAGTTATGAGGCGGTAAAAGCCAAGAAGAGAGCTGAGTGGGCTATGTTGGAGAGTAAGGACCTTCTTGAAAACCTTAAGGTTTTATGGGATACGTCTGATGGTGTATGAAGACCAGATTTTGCCTATGTACAATATATTGAAGATGTCTCTCCCATTTACCAATATCTCATCACCAAACTATGTTTGGAAGATTCATATGTATGAAAATATAGTGAGCCTAAAACATAGGTATTAAGTGATCCAAAAATACACTGTACATGAGCCTAAAAACTAAGTATTAAGTGATCCAAAAATACACTATACATGAGCCTAAAAAATAAGTATTAAGTGATCCAACAATGAGCCTAAAAAATGCGTATAAAGTGATCCACAATTGAGCCTAATAAATGCGTATTAAGTGATCCACTTCCACCGGACATTTACTGTCCGGCGTGACCGAACAGGGGTGGTAATTACTATATTTGGAAAAAGAGGGGTGGTATATACAGGCTCTCTTAAAATCTGATTAATTGAAAAAAAAGTTAAACTTACATATAAGCAAAAGACAAAAATATATAGTTAGAACAATAATGTTTTTTTTTTATTATTAAAATCAATGACATGAGGATTAATGATCAATAGTTGTGAATGCCAGAAAATGTGAAATGTTATAATGATATGAAATGATGGTTAAATGAATTAGAGGGCGTTAATGCCTTGGACAAGATCATGAAGTTTGAGATTCTTGAGACTGGCAAGTTTTTGACCAGCTCTGTTAAGCTTAAGATCTTTGACACCAATGTTCTTAGCCTTGACACCAACAAGAGGGCTTCCTCCACCACCACCACCACTGCCACCGCTTCCACCACCATTACTGCAGTCGGGGCATCCACCACCGTTACCACCATTGCCACCGTTGTTACCGCCACCGTTGTTACCGCCACCATTGTTACCACCACCGTTGTTACCACCACCGTTGTTACCACCACCGTTGTTACCGCCACCATTGTTACCACCGCCATTGTTACCACCTCCATTGTTACCGCCACCGTTATTACCGCCGCCACCGAAACCATCATCGCCGCCGAAGCCATCATCGCCACCGAAATCACCATCGAAGTCTGTTTCACCGGGTCCACTGTTACCACCATTGCCACCATCCATAGGTCCATCGTCATGCATATCGTCACAATCAAGATCGCACTCATCAACAAAGTCCCAGTTGTCATCGGGCATATTAACGACATCTTCTTCAATGTCGTGGATGTGGTCATGAGGATTGTGACCTGTTTCAATGTCATCGAGGATAATATCGGAATCACCGCCACCATTGTGTGAGTGACCACAAGGAGCAGCAGATGTTACAGCAGCCATCAAGGCAATAGTAGCTAAACAGATATAAGTAAGACGAGCCATTGTATTATAAAATTGTTTGTTAAGATAATAATGATAATAAAAAAAAAAGAAATGTAGGGTTTATCTTGCCTTTTTATATGAAAAAAAATATATATAAGAATCTAATCACCCTTTCCTTCTGTAGCAATTTCATAATTAACCCTCAAAGTGAGCAAGAATGTAATATATGAAATACACTGTGTTGAACCCTATGAGGGGTAAGTAAAAAGGTAGGTAACGGTGTGTATGAATCTTTTTTTTTTCAGGGCAAAAAAAAAAAAGATGGGGTTATCAACCGTGCGATTTATTCGTCGAATCATAATTGTTCATGATCTAGTTCTTTCCATGTACTTTGTGCATCATAAATTTAATTACTTCGTGCTTGAATCAATTTTGACGGATTCTTAAAAAAAGGAACCCTTAATATACTCTTTACCCCCTTTGTAATGAAAATCCCTTTTTTTATTTTTTCTTCGATTGAGTCCAAAGCCACGTTATTGCGCGCTAATGATTACTCATCTTTTTTTTTTATTGGTCTGCTAAAAACTCTTTTTATCTGGTATCACTCTATTCTTGTCTTGATGTATATATAAAGAAAGTTCATTGGTTCCCTTCATAAACAGTGGAACCTTTTGTCGCGTATGGTATGCCTAAAGCTACAAACCCCCTTTCCTTCAACGGGAATACCCTCAAAGTGTCATTTAATTTCGGTAGGTATATCATTCTTTGGGTACTAAATCCAAATTTATCACATTGCATGAACTATAGCTTTATATGGTAAAATCTATTTACCTAAAAACCCTTGACCGCCAATAATAGACTATGCTCACAAACAGCGGTAATTTTTTTTTACTCTGACGTTCAATAAGATGCCGTTATAAGTTTTATTTATTTTTTGTAAAATGTATTTTGTATCATGAATAAATAATGAATGTGCCAATATGCTTTGCCTTAGAAATCTGCCATATCCAAGAGAGAGCACGAGTTACATTCGTAGCATTTGCATTTACCAGACTCTGGATCCTTTCCCTTGGTATCGCAAGATCCATGCCACCCTTTTTGTTCAAACTGAAAGGTAGACCCGGGACATACTTCCATGAGAGTACCATTGTACATGTAATTGATACAGTCACATTGGGAGTGCTTTTTCCCTGCCCATACCAGAGAGCAACCCGACAAAACAATAATGATATATAAGAACTTCATGAATAATTATACCTTGACTGAAACTTAAATTTGGTGTGTTTATATATACATTGCCATTTCATTGTAGCTGTTTATTTATTTCAAGTAAAAGGGAGGGGCAGTGTGGAAGGGTATTTCCTTATTGTGTGGTTTTCATTGTGCCATTGAGCACTTCTAGCCAATAGGAAGGCGTTAATAATGTAATAAGCAAGTGTGGCCATAATGATTGATTTGTTTATATCTAGATCATTTGACTTAATGGGAAAAGGCCTCTCCATTAATCTGAGCCAGAAACCGCTAGTACTCCTGTGAGGTTCGCGACTTATCCATTCGCCGCTTACTTCTCCGTAACACGTTTTGTTTCCAAACTTTCCGTTAACTGGCAAATCAGCTTTACAGTGCCCGCTCTATCTAAGGCCTCCACGACAGCAACAAGGCATAATAGTACGATGTGATAAAAATCGTGCTCCCGTATCTCTTATCCAAAGCGGTGACTTGAGATTAAATGATGATAATAAAACAAATTTTTTTTAAGTAAGCTTGACGGGCGGTTTATCATCGACGGGTACTAAATTTATGACTTACCGGTATGCTAAATATTTGCAATTGTGGTTTGATATAATGATTTTAATCATGATAAAAAAAAATCCATAAGGTTTATTTATATTTAATTTTGGTTGCAAGGGAGTGGGAAAGCCTTGGCAGAAGCAGGATTTTCTTGGTGTCATCATCAAAGCGTCATATAAAGTGCTGTTTGTGCTCCAGTTACACACGCCTTAAATTGATTATTTTGATACAAGTCATACAATGACTTGATAAATACTTGTTTAATTAATGTAAATTTAAATGACTTGTGTTGAAGTAGGCGAGAGGTGAATGAAAAAAAAAAATGATACATATCATGTTAATGGACGCATCCTTTAAAAAGACTATATCTGTCTTTTTTTTTTGGCCGCCCATATTTCTTTCACTTTTCCTTGCTTATTTTTTTAATGAGGTATTCTTTCAAACATAAATAGTTTCCACTTTCTCTTTTTAGATTTACACGCATTTTTTTTTTTTTTTTTTTTTTTTTTTTTTTTTTTTTTTTTTTTTTTTTTTTTTGCAAACTATCGAAATACATCTTTCAAGTCAAAGTATACCTGACGTACTGTCTTTTTAAAATTATCTTGACGTATGCCTCGTGTTCTTTATTGTATTAAAGTAGACAGAAATCACGAAGGCCAATCATTGGATCGTTATAGTTAGAGCAATAATTTTTAATTGTGTCGAAGTGTTTTTTTTATTATTGTTAAATATAATATTTAAATGGTAAATAAGATATCTGAATTCTCTGGTGACCAGAAAGTACCCCTCTCCTTTTAAAGTGTAACTGCCAATTTATCAAAGATAGCCTGGTTGTGCTACATTACTCCACAAACGATTTTCTTTAGCAGGTTCGCTATCTAAAGGTTGAAGTGTTCCTTCTTCACTTTTTTGACTGTCAAAGATAAAACGAGCTTCAATAGAAAGTGCAAATAGAATGACGAGAGTAATCCATAATGTAAAAGCGTGCATTTTTGTTAAAATTTGTACAAATAGATAAAGTCGTCTGTTGAAATAATTATAAAAACACATGTAACTTTTGACCTTTGTTATTTATACATAAAAAAAAAAAAAAAAAAAAAAAAAAAAAAAAAAAAAAAACTCTACCGTACGAATGTAATCTGTTATGCTAAGATCAACACGGCGCTGAGAGCTATTGCATAAAGTTAAGCCCAAAGTAAATATTATGCTTGTCGTTATTTGCTTGCTGATTGAAAATCCCCGTGATCATAAGACGAAAAAACGATGTACAAAACTTGCTCGATTATTTATAAATCCAAACTTCAATAATGCCTAAGCCTCCTGAATGTTTCTATTTATAACTAGTATGAATACGTTAATCTAAACAACAGAAGATGGAATGTCAACGAGGTGTTATTTTAATTGTTACTGTTGATATGATTTCTGGATTGCTTAACTAAATGATTACATCGTGTTAACAACAGATTTAAACGACATGAAAAATTATCTGTGCCATAGATAAACAACATATTAAGGGTATTCAATTGCCGTATTTTGAATAAATCGTATTTTTGTGAATAAAAAAAAACAGCCAATCATATTTTTTTGGAAATGAATACCCCAAAAATATAATTCGTATTTTGATGTTACAATAATGACGTAAATATGACATCAATCGGTTCCTGAATGGAAACCGTATTATCTTATATAAAGCTTTTCATCCTGTGTAGAGGCTGTTTACTTTAATTGTTCCATTTTATAAATTATATACTTGACAATATGACTTCCGAAAATAACCAACAACCTACCAGCAATGCTATGGTCGTCTATAATGATAAAGGCAAAGGTAGAGATGTCTGTAATCCTACTCACGAGATCAACGGTAGTGAGGTGACAGTAGTTACTACAATCGAAAAGAAAAAAGAGAGAAAACGAGGCGGTAAAAAGAGATCATTAGTTGCTACAACTCAAGAGATTACCCAGAGAAAACGAGGTAGACCCGCTGGCTCTAAGAATGGTACGAGAAAGGAAAAGCCACTCAAGATTGAGGGGTCAAACACTTATTCTCCCTGGCATTTGGTGGACGAATCAAGCAAGGATGGTCTTAGTTCGCAGGATCGATTGATCAACTTTCTTCTTGACGATGGGGGTAGGAATCTGCGCAAGTATTTTGGTACTGTTAAAGTGTACAGTAAGGACGGTGTAACCGATGGAAAGCCTGGCGAGGTCAAGCAGTCTGTTCGTAATAGATGCGTTTCTTACTTTATGGATCAAGGTGTCAACTATCGTACGTCGGATCAAATTAAGTCCAAGATTTTTAATCTTATAACTGCATACCGTAAAGCATATGCTGTAGATAATCAAAGTGGTGAAGGCGCTATGGGTGACAGCAATGAGTCTGGTAAGGTAGAATTTGAAAGTAAGTACAATATTACTGTTACCAGATGATTAATACGTTGTATCATTAACATTTGCTTTTGTATTATTAGATAAATTGAATAAGATCTGCCCTCACTACTATCGTTTCAAGGAAGTAATGGGTGATAGACATACTGGTTCTGCAGACCCCAATCGCTCCGGCGAAAGTTTTGATTTGGAATGTAGACGGAAGCCAACATCGGCTGTAACCGGTGATGATGATGATGATGATAGTTCCGATGCCTCTTCTTCCGATGAAGATGATTCGGATAACTCAAATGGTCAGAAGAACAGGAGAAAGTTGGGAGGGATTTCTTTTCGTGATTTGAAGACGCTCGCAAAGCAAAACCAACAGATCATAGACAATTCGATATCTCGTCTTTTAGGCCAAAAATCGCTTGAAAAAATCTTTGAAGCAAGACTGGAATCTCTGAACAAGTATGCTTTGGCTAAGGATTGGACATTCGATCAATTAACAGAGGCCACTAAGAAATTACAAGATGAAATTTTTCATAAAAGTGATCATAATAGTATTTGAATTTTAATAAACTTTATGTTTAGATTACTCTACTCTCTGCGTTTTCTTGCTTCTTTTCTTTGTGCCATTTCCTCCAAAACGCTCTTCTTAACCGATTCGTACTTTGCTTTACCTATCTCTGAATTAACATGATCCTCTTCGCTGTCTTCGTCTGCATAGATAGGAATTCCTTGCATCAGATTTTGTCTAGCCGCTGCTTCCTTTTCGGCAAATTGCTTTTCCAATAGGGCTGTAAAACTGTCATCTTCACGGCTGATCAAAAAGTTGTTTAGAGCAATACAAACACGGATCCATGCACTGGCATATCTCACATCTTGCTTAGATTGTACCTGTAATCGCAATTGTTTTAAACTTTGAAATCGTGCCTTGAGAATCCCGAAAGCATGTTCAATTTTGATTCTCATTTGTGAAATGTAAGTATTAAACTTTTGATCTTCATCATTTGTAGTTCCATTTCTTGGTTTTTTGCTTACAGGTACCAAGTACCTAGTCGGAGAGTAACCACCATCACCTAAGACGTACTCATTTCCAGTGCAATACTTTGAAGGATTTTGGCCATAGTCGCTTTCACTGAACACACGCATGTCATGAGAGCTGCCAAAATACCCCGTCTCTACGTATCGGATACGTCTTCGATGGTCGCAAATAGCCATGGTTTGGATTGAGTACCCACCCTTTCTGCAATAGAACTCATCCCTTCTCCATGCTGGAGCCTCTTCCAAAAAAATGTGAGTACCGTCGATAAACCCAAGACAGTCAGGAAACCCCAAGTACGATTTGTTGACAGCCTTGATGACCTCCCTCTCTTCATTTTTGGGCCAGTAAGTGAATTGATCCTCCATCGAAAGAATGACTTTTAAGAATCTGGTAGTGTAATTCTGGATCGAACCGCCTAAGGGTACAAAGATTCAGTTATAATTAGTAGCTATTTCGAGTTACTGTGTCATTGAGTACTTACTACCAACACCAGAGCGTCTAGCAAGCTTTGCAATTGAAGATCCATTTCCGTATGATCCTAACCTTTCAAGAACAATAGCCATTTGCATTCTGACGTCAGTTTGAGGACGTGTACCGTTGGACTGGTACAAAGGGTGGTCCTTGATGAGATTATAAAGCGCGTTAAAAGAATTTCGGTCCATTCTGAGCTCGTTGACAAACCCCTCGTCGTCGATCTGGTTTAGCAAAAATTCCAATCTTCTTTCTTTGGTCACAAGTTTTGGAGCATTGTGTTTTCCACGGACAATATATCTCTTTGATTTAATATATTTCATCATTTGCTTGTCGACGTTATGTTTCAAATTGAAGTGTAGAACTTCGGCAATGTCTTGAAGATCTTTTCTATCACTTTCATCGAGTTCGGGACGCTTTGCATATTCTTCTAAGTATGCGATGTTAGCACTGGTCAATACCTTTTGATTAAGGTAACGCTTTTGGAAAGTTCGGTACAATTTTTTCTTTGTGCTTTGACGAGGCATGATGTATACGTTTTAAATTAATGAAAACAAAGTAAAGAGAGGTAAAAAGGGAGATTCTAGATGTCTTTAACCACTTTTCTTTAACATAACGGACGTCTTCACTTAAGCGTTGCACAGTAAAAATTGACGTCATTATTATGTAATATTTTTTTATTTTATTTTATTCTTGAATGTTCGTGAAATTTCTTGGTCAAATTATAAAAAAAAGAAAATTAACCTGATTGGCTGATTTTTTTATTCACAAAAATACGATTTATTCAAAATACGGCAATTGAATACCCTTATTTACAAGCTTAATAAGTCAACGGGGGAAAAGAAGCTATCGCATTCATTAAAGGTCTTCCGTCGGTTCAACTTTTCAAGCACGTTATATTTCAATTTTCGCAGATCAGCCTCAGGATGTTATAGAATACAAGGGAGCTATAAACCGATTGTTATTTTTGAACGACTTTTAAAGTTATTGATTCATCTTACTAAATTAGCTAAATTATCATAAAGTGAGCAATATGATGTCATTTTATGAATACAAAGGCTATGTGGAGATAAATGAAGCATAAATGATGGAGTGTCTGCTGTCATCAGTATTTTAAAAAAATTCTGTTACTGCAGTTTTAACTTGTAACTCTCGGTATAAATTTCTTATTAGCCACGCAAAAAATGTTGTGTACTATGCTAATATCAAATCAATGCATTTATCTTTTCACGCAATTGTAATGTGTAAGGTCTGTACTAGCATCTTCTTTTAGGTATTGTGTTTGTAAGAAGTCTCATTTTTATTTTTTATTTTATTTTAAAATAGATAAACCATAATAACCATTTGCATTTACTAATAATTAAGAATCCAATTATTCCTCTTAAAAACATAATTTCCTACTGATCGTGTTCGTAGCCTCTTGCAATCAACAATTTTTTACAATGCACTTATCTTTAATATAATCTGAGAGCTTCAAGTTATTTAAAAAATTACTTTGTCTCTTTTATTAATCAGTATAAAAACTTATTTTCGAACTAAACGTTTTCAACAAAGACGCTTCATAACGGTCAGGACCTGGTTAAGATCGACAGTGACCAGTTTAAAGGCTGCATGACCAATACCACTGGTGGCAGCACTCTTGAAGTCTAATGGCGCTGCTAGACAGTCTATGTCCATGACAGCTTGGACAGCAGGTATCAGAACATTGTCAACGAACATACACTGATGCTCAAGCTTAACCGAGAAACCACTTTTGCCGTAATGCTGGCACAAAGCTGGAAAGAAGATGTTGACCTATGCATTCAATGAATAAGTTAGTTGACTGTATGGTTTTGGACCAATTATAATATAGCTTACGAAATTGTCCCCAGCTTTGGCCAACAAGACATTTGGGCATTGGCTTACTTTTCCCGAGCCAAGCCTTGTGTCATCATAGTGATAATTAATACCCAAGTCCTTCTTGATCGTGTAATTGTAGTTGGGTCGATAGTAAATATCGAAGTTGGTCTTGTGAAAGGGAATTGACAAGGTACTTGGTACATAAATGTACGAGTCAATATCGAAGAGAACCTCAGGCGTATTCAATTGCACTGAGGACATGCGATGGAGGAAGCAGATTGGATTCATCGCTCGAGAATGTGTTTCACTGCCATTTTTTTTTTTGTTATGATGCTCGTATGTGCCATAGTCCAAACGAGTGATTCCGGTGTCAAATGGAGGGCAGAGGAAAAAGCGTACTCGGTTATCAGGCAAGAGCGGAACAGTACGCAAGTAGTCCGTAACGAGTGTAATCCATGCACATGACCCCGGACAAACGTTGCCACCAAGAGGCTGTTAAAGGCCAAAGTTGTAATTGCGGGTGCAGAAGCGGAGGCGTGGAATTCCTCCACACATTGTTCCAACGAGTGGGAGGGGATGTCAATATTATTAAAAGTTTGTTACTATATATTTATTAACAGAAGGACAAAGCCTAAACAACATTCGCGGGGGTGATAGTTATACGAACGCATTTTTTCTTTCTCAGACTCGTTTTAAAGAACAAGAATGTTTGTGTGGCACGAAACTTATCACTTTTCAGCTTGGATGCTTATTTTTGAAGCGGCTACCACCCAAACGTACGATTAATACTTATATTTCACTACGAGAAAGTCAACATTGACAGAAGAGCCCGATTAACTAGGTTTTTAAATTTACAGGAGACGAAACAAGATATACAAGACACCTTTCTATATTTGACACGTCTGTAGCACAGTACAGCTTTTATGTGCTTTTTTTTTTTTTACAGACATGCATATGTTGCTTTGAATATCTTTCCGAATAGTGGTCTAAAATATTTTGCGGGGGGATTTCCGAAATTCTCCTTGGTCCTTCAATGATAGTAAAAAACATTTAAATGCGAACATAGTTTACAAGGAGACCTTAATTAGGCCCATCAGTTTTACGTGTCTTTAATAAAGAGATAGTTTTGCGTGGCCAATCATCGCGCAATGCAGCGAAACTAAAAAAAAAAAGTCACAATTTTTTTTTTTTGGTATAAAAAGAGGGCCTTTACCCCGATTTTGGTCTTTGGACCACGCATTTTCCGAAAGTTTTTAAATCAGGCAGTGTTCCAAAGACAGTAGTATTCCCATAATCGGTTTACGTTAGAGAAGTTTGTTGGTTATCAAAGTCGCTAGGCAGTAAAGGTTTTACTTTACTTATTTGCCTATACCACTTCATTCGGATTTCAGTACAACAATCTGATTTGGGTTCTGTAACCTTAGTTTCGAGAACTTCTTACTCAAACTCGTGCCACACCTCCACATCCGATGGAAAAAGGGTTGGAATCAGGAGCGAGTAACAAGACGGTAGGATGGTCTTAGCCGATTTGAAACCTGTTCGATACGCTCTTGGTCATTCGTATTGGGCGAGTTGTTACGTTAGGTCGGGGTCTAATAACAGTAAGAGGTTTTAGTACTTCGAATGCATCACTTGTAGGTGCTTTTGTTTTTGAGTTTATTAAAGTCTACGCTAGAGATATTTCTAATCCGCATAGACAACCAAAAGATGGACGTTCTTCTAGACGGTTACCTCATCTACACTGAATGTTCGCACAAAAGTCAATGCTCATCCAGGTGCAGCTCTGCTACGACTCAGCTGCCAGGGCAGTCAACCTTCACAACGTACATATTATTATTTAAATGAAAAACAAGTGTTTATTGTAAAGAATTACAAGAGTATTGATAGTAAAAAAAAAAAAAAATTGCGGACGTGTCTAGTAACTATTCTATTTGAGATTGCCTATGATAGTGTCTAACACATCCTTTGAGTCAATTCTTTCACTATCTTGAGTCCCCGAATCTGGACTCGTATTCCCAGTTCTGATATGATCGTCCCTACTATCAAGCGTGGGGGATTTAGAGGTTTCTAGCTCTCTCTTTTGACCATAATAGAAAGTAGTAGCAGCTCGAGCCTCCATTACCAGTGAGAATAAAACGACAAGAGTCAGCAAAACTGTAAAAGCACGCATTTCTAGATAGTGTGGTATGGTAAAGTTCTAAATTTTTTCCCTGTGCTGGGTTAAATTTCTCATCCTGTTTATATCTATAGTTAAACTGAAGAAAGAAGAGCAAACTTTGCGGCATTAAAATTCAATATTTATGTTGATCATGGCAGATCACAAACAGACGTCTAAATAAATGCCGTTGAATATATTTTTTTGTTTGATACTCTACATCGCGTATAAACGTTAAAAGTGATACTATACTTGGTTAAGATGATACATTTAAGACCAACAATAAACACCACATATATATCAAGAAACTACACAAGACGAAACAACATTCAGTAAAATAGTGGCGTTGTTTGATTCCACCACTCTTGCCCCCATCATGCCATTTGTTTTGTTTTGTTTTAAAAAAAAAAGGAATAAAATTATGCTTTACGTGGCCCCATATTCCGTTAATTCTCAGAAGAAAAAAAGCTTATTTTCAATTAAAGCAAGTCTTTTTTTTTAGCTTATTACCAGTCAAGATCCTATGCAAAGATTTATAAATTGCTGGGCTCACTTGAATAATTTGGATTTGTATATAAAAAAAAAAAGCTTAATCAATTATGCTCTTATCTAGAGAATGACTATAAAACAATTGACGCCTTTGTTACTTTATTAGCAATAAAAACATATACTAAAACTCGATTGAGTGAATGTGATGTATACAAGAGAATCGTTTTTTTTTTTTTTTTTTTTTTTTTGGTATATGCTAAAATGATATGTAAAATGTTTTTTTTAATCTTCCTCATTATAGTATACTGTTGAAGAACTAACAGTAACGCCACGCTTTTTACTGGATGAAGATGATGTATCACTCTCCCGTAATCGCTTTCTTGATACTTTTTCCCTTTCATCCCCATCCTCCTCATCATCATTACTACTATGGCTACTGCTATGGCTACTACCGCTATCATCATTACTTGCAGGAATGACAATGGGTGGTGGTGGTACTTTATGACTTGTTGAACGTTCAGATATCGTTGGTTTACTATCTTGTTCTATCCCCATCATATTTTCGTACTCTTGAAGACTCTAATATGGATAGATATATAAAAAAGTTAGCGGTTACTCTCTCTCTCTCTCGTGCGTGCGCGCGAAGAGGGGAATGGATTCTTTTTTTTTACCGAAATGGCTTGTAAACCATTGATATTCAATCTGGTATCCACGACATGTTTCAATAAACCTGATGCTGCCCACATATTATCACAACGACCGATTTCCAAATTAAAGTCCCTTTCGACTTTTCTTTCAAGGATGATGGCATATTTCGTGCGAATCGATTTGTAAATGACATCCCAAGGTGTCTTTAATGCTTGTAATCGAGGTATTTGTTTCTTTCGGAAATAACAATTCAGCATTTCCCCTTCAGTGATGTTTGCCACCTCAAACATTTTATCTACAGCCTCAAGGACGATATCCTCTTCCATGTCGACATTACGATCGAGACTTTGAGATAAAAGAGAAGCCACGAGGATCACAAGCTTATCACGGATCGGAATAGGGTCGTCCGGTGTTTCTTCAATTTCTTGAATGTCACGGTTCGTATCAGTATATTCGTAACGAGGTCTCTCTTTTTTCCTTCTGGGGCCTATATGATACAATAGTCAATAGGTAGTAAAAGCCAATCATAATAAAAGATGGGCATGGGATGGTAGTTTACCATGAGATTTCGTAATTTTAGGTAGTTCTGGTAAATTCATTAGATCAGGCACTACTTCAAGATTTCCACGTAAGGGACGCGCTGTGCTTCGCGCTCTAACAACATGGGGACGCGAAGACTCACCTGTTTTTTCTGGAAACCTTTGTCGAAGCAGTTCATTGACATGTCCATCCAAAGATTCTGTAAATGGGTTGGCTGTTGGTGCTGTAGCTGTTGCTGCTGCTGCTGCTGCGGAGGAGGAGGAGGGAGTGGTTGCTGTTGCTGGAGAAACTGGCTTCGTATTCAGGAGGAGTGAAAAAACTTGATTTCGACGTTCATCGCTATGACGTAAATATTGCAGAATTTTTTTGTCAAGCTCCATGGAAGCCTCCAACAAGTCATAGAGACTTGGAACGTCAGGTTCGTTATTACGTGACATTGAGTCGGGGTAGAGGAAAGAAAAGAAAAAAAAAAGCTGCTTATTATTCTATCTCGTCTGGGTGTCAATACACTTTTTATTTTTCTAAAAAAAAAAAAAAATGAACGCGTAATTTATTTTTCTTTTTTTGTACGCGTCTCACTATTCGAGGATCTTCATTATTTATAGGAGATCTTACAGTAGAGACTAGACTGTATCTTAATAAAAGAAGATGGAAGGGGGGGAGGGAGGGGTGATAAATATACAGTGTGCATACTGTTATCACTAAAAAAAAAAACCAAGAGTTTCAATTGGCCGAGTTAAAAAAAACAAATATTTATCCCCCTCTCCTCCAATCAGAAATGAGGTGTTGAAAAGTCTCAGGGTAGTAAAAAAAAAAGTGGTTTCTATATTACACCTTTTTTTTATATATATATTATTTCTATTTGACATGGGAGATATTGCAGAACAAGAAAGACTCGAAAGACGTCGAGCTAAAAGACAACAAAAAATCCTTGCTTCAGCTGCCAGTCGGTTAAACCTCATTACAGGAACCCAAGCAGGTAAAGAAAATAGGCTATTTATATATATATATAAACGCTGACACTATATATATATATATATAAAAGCGTTTAGAGAAACACCTACACCTACACCTTCTACATCAAGCACATTACCCATAGAAACAAAAAAAAACTCATTAGCCGAACATTACCCTACTGCTTCTGATCCCCGTCGACAAAAATACGAACTCTCAAGCGTCACACCTACACCTTCTCTTTCATCAGGTAAACATCGTCCCGCTGTCCAAAAGGTCATTGAACAGGAACAAGCGGAAGCTTTAAACGAGCATGGATTTTTGGGCGGTAAAATTCCACAATTGTTGTTAGCCAGTATGTTACGTAAAACAAACCCTACGGCCGTTCAATGTGGTCACCCTGCAAACAAGTATTGGAATTTACTTCATTTTATAAGTATGATATGGTTGGGCATTTTGGCTGTCTATGAAGAGATCTCGTATCACGGTTGGAAGGGAGTGGCTCAATTGATCAAGGATCCTACATTAAAGGAACATGGTGCGATACATTTTGTAAGTTGATTTAAAGAACAGGTTTTTTTTTTAAATACATAAATCACATGCTGAAACGTTTTGGATATGATACATATGTAGCCTGTATTCTGGTACTTTGTCACACTAGAGATTTTTTTACATTTCGGTCGATCACTTTATCAACCAGTAAGTTGTGGGAGTGGGCATGTATGCATTTTTTTTTTTTTTTTTTACTCAACACATATATTTTCAGGAACATAACAGCATTCGAGAAGAGTCAACGTTTTCAAGCCTGGCAACACAATTACCTGAAGGAATTCAACCACCGGTATTATTCTTACAGAAATATGGCGTCCTTACCAACGAACTGTTTCGAGATTTATGCATTGTGATATTTGTGATAGGCTTTACATGTATTAGTATTTATATTACTTTATTACTTTTTTAATAAACTATGCACCACATGCGAGACCTTGAGATTCTTGAGATCTGTATAAGTTTGACCTGTACCCACGAAATAAATGGGTTGTCCCGTAATATAGGTCATGGATAACGCTGCACCCACTTTATCATCAATCGTATCAAATTTGGTCAAGATCATACCATCAATATGTCTTGGATTCGAAAGACCCGAGAAATCCTTGAGTGCCTGGTTAAATTTCGTGAGTTGATCCACGGCTTCGTTACCCACCAGAGCTTCACCCACAAAGATAATCTTGTCAGGTTGGTTCACTGACACCAATTTAGAAAGCGCACGCATTAAAGGTTCATTGTCTTGCATACGACCCGCTGTATCAATCAAGACAACATCAAATTGATTCACTGCAGCATAATTCATGGCATCTTTAGCAATACCTGCAGAATCTTTACCGTAACCACGTTCGAATAACTCTACTACGCCTCCTCCACTCGTTTGAAGTGCACGTAAATTACGTGCATGCACTCGTAATTGTTCAACAGCACCACTACGGAAAGTATCACATGCTGCAATCAAAATTTTGTAGTTATTCTGTAACAACCAAAAGCACACTTTACTCAAATTTGTCGACTACAGCCAAAAAAAATAAAAAAAAAAGATAAGAATGGGTGATACGATACATGATATACGAATGACACATACCTTGCCAACACCATTGACACCAATAAAGCACATGGTATATGGTCTCTTTTCTGATTTGGCTTGTTCAATATCACGTAAAATATCCAACGAGGTCTTGGGAGTCAAGATACGTTTTAATGCAGTTTCCATACTATTTCGCACAGCGGTAGAAATTCTTTCAAAATTACCCAATTTTTTACCCAATAAACTAGTACGAACACTTTGACATAAATGCTCTGCAATATGAGTAGCTACATTTTGTGTAATCAAGTGTTCCTTGATCGTTGCCATGACAGGATCCAATGTCTCTGCCGTCATTTCTCTTCCGGATGTGAATGATTTAAAGTAAGAAAACAAGCCTGATGTATTTCCCTTTGTTGTTGTTGTTTCATCGTCCTCTTCATCAAAGTCAAGCTCATCGTCACTGGCTTGCAAGACATCTTGTACTTGATAAATACCCTTTTCGTTCTTTTGTCCCAGTTTAGATGCATCCACAAATTGAGCAGCAATGGTATCCACGTTCTCTTCATCCTCCAATTCACCTGCCTTGGAATAATCCAGTGCCTCCATTTCTCCCTTGGCTATCTGTCCATCCCATACACGTGCTTGTTTTTGTGATTTCTTTTTCTTTCCTGTTGCATCACTAAAAAAAAAAGTCCCCACCATGCATTTAGTCTCTCTTATTTTTTTTTCTGTCTTTCTTTTTTGCTTACTCATTCATGCTGGGTGAAGGAGCGGGTGTGGATTTATTGGATTTGATCACTTTACGTCCTTTTCCACCAGGTCGTGGACTTCCTTGAAGTTTCAACGCCTTGATATTTTTTGTAATTTCATCTTCATCCACGGCATGAGCGTCATGAACAGGAAGTGCACCCGCTTTATATTTCCCAAAAGAAAAACGTGTTTAGAAAAAAAAAAAGGGGGGGGGGGAATGTTTAAGAAACTTACTATTTTGTGCTTGAGAACCCTTTAATGAAGTCTCAAACTTTTTGGTATTTTCAAATTTACGAGGTGCACGTTGTCGTCCTTGACTTCCTTTTTCCTCAATTTGAGCCAACACTTTATCAAAGATGGGACCAAATGTTGTATAGTCGGCATCGGTACCTTCCCATCGACTCAAGAATAAGCGTTTGACGGTCTCCAGTAATTCATCAATGTAGGTAAGTGGTAATATCTTTTGATAGGCTACGACAAAGACCACATCGTGTTCATTGGCCAACGTCCATTTTAAAGCATAATGGTCCTTGTAATAAACATCCGTTCCCGACCGTTCTTCAATCAAGACATTCTTTATAAGGTCTTGCACGGGAGAACCTTGAATAGGTGTAAACGTTTTTTGCCACAAGACAAACCCGCCTTTGGTCAAGATGGTGAATAAATCGAGCATCGTTTATGTATGTGTTGGAAAAAGCACGAGAATAAAAAAATAATAAATTTGAAAAAGAAAAATGGGGGTTTTTTTTTCGTGTGACGTTTATTTATAAGAGCGACTGTAAAAAAAAAAAGAGAGAGAGATGAATTTGTTTTAGATGAAATTAAATACGATAAGGTGCAGTCATATTGGCATGAAGTGCTTCATCCCAATTAAAGTCGGGTTGGATTTTAGAGTAACGCGTAAGACAACTCCAATCAGTCCAATCTACAAGATAACGTGTTAGTCATGAAATATATATATATATATAAAAATGCCGTTACCAAAGTTTTGCTTGTCATCACAAGAACACTTTTTATTGGCCCAAGGTTGATCAGGACAATGCATTAATGGGTTATGCTTGTATCCGATATCATTAAAGAAATGAACTTCAGAGGTCTTTAACATCATGGCAACTGCCAAGGAATGCACAGGTGCATCTCCCCATCGTTCGTAAAAGAAACCACCCTTGGAATCCAAGTAATTAAAGTATTTCAAATATCTTTCACTTCTAAAGAAATCCAATGATCCAATCTATAAAAAAAGGGCATGTTAGTCTATGGATACAACATACAACGAGTAAGGGATACTTTACCTCAAAATTGGACCAGAAATGACATCCATTATAATCAGTATAGTTGTTATCTGAAATCCAAGGCAACAAACTATCTTCACCGTAATTCACTAATTCTTTATTATCAGCCATGAATTGTTTGGTGGTTTCCCAAAGTGTAGGAATTGTTTCCATGTATTCTGTTAAAGAAAGTGTCCAGCCTGTATTTAGATATATAAAAAAGTAAATGAGCATTCAAGTCAAGATGTTTTTTTGTATAAATGACTTGCCATATTTCAACTTTTTATCCTTCATCATTTGGAAGACATCATAGTCAATATCGCAAAAGTAAGAGACATCAGGTTCAACACGCCAATAGTATTCAAAGGCGTCCAATAAGGGATGCCTAAAGAAGAAACCACTCTGGAATCTAAAAAGAGATTGATGAATAAAGAAAGAATACATAGTAATAAGAAAGAGTGACTCTACCGGCACATGTGTCTATAGGATTCACTACCACCATAAATAATGCCTTTATCTTGCATCTTCTTTCTACAATCAGCAGCCTTTTTGGTATCGACATGATCAGGATAACCCCACATATCAGCATCAATCTTACCATAATGCACTTCACTATTTGTCAAGGCAGCTGTCTTTTCCTTGAACTCTTCTGTAAAGTTTTCTTCATTTAAAAAGACATAAGGGTAATTGAATTTTCTGTTGAAACGATCTTCCATTTGACGAATAGAGGAACGGATACCATTTAAATCCGAGTTTCTGGCCAGAATGACAAAGGCGGCCTTGACACGATTAGGATGGTGTGCGGATAAAGTGGTTGTTGTACTACTGCTGATGACGGCGTTTTTGTAGGCGGCTAAAGCTGCTTCACCTTGTCTTGCTTGTGCTTCAAATGTACTTTTGAGATCTCCATACCAATTATCTGCAAGTTGCATATCAGCTTTTGGGAAAAATAAATAGGCAATCAAACCGAGAATGGCCACTGTAGCCAAGATTTGAAGACCCAGTGTTTGCCTCCGCTTGGACATCATCCTTTTGTGTATGTTTGTAAGAAAGAGAGAGAGAAAGAGAGAGAGTTTTGACCCTAAGTTATTGTGTCTTATACCTTTTTTGTTTCTACTATTTGTTTACCTAAATCCTCCCCTTTTGCATAAAGAATTTTGCTTTATAAACTCCACTTCGGATCATGAAAATAAATTTTTTGACATGTAAAAAAAAAGCTACTGCTTTTTTATCTGATTGGACTCGCTTTTTTTTTTTAATTTTTCTGTCAGTTATAAAAAGGGGATGATTTCTGTTTAAAATATACTTTTTTCCTTAATTCTTTTCACTGTTTCTATAAAGTTTGTATATATCTATTTTTCTTTAATTATTTTTTTTATTCGTGTTATTGTTATCTTCTCTTTTTGGGGATAGCGAATAATACTATATAAAAAAAATTTTTTTTTTGGGGAATGGTATTTCAATTTAAGACAGAAAGGAATTTCGATCTGGTCCACATGAAATTAGAAGGTAAATTTTGTTTATATATACACACACACACACACAAATAGTTTCTTTTTGGGGGTCCAATCTTTTTTTTTTATTTCTTTATTTGATGATTAAGTCTTTACTGAAGTTGGTTCCAATACGCAACCGGGACCTTCTAACTTTATGAATTTAATATTTACTTGCCCTCTCTGATTATATTGAAAAAAAAAAAAAAAAATTACCTCAAAAAAAGATTCTTGTATATTTTTTTTGTATATTTTTTTATTAACATTTTCATTTTCTCTCTTCAGGTATACTTTCTTATTTGTGGGGTCACCTTATTTTGATGTATATAACAATAAATAAAATTTCTATATATAAAAAAAAAAAAACTTTTCTTTGTTACATGTGGCTTGTTTTCATCCCGTTTTAATTAAAAATTACGCCTTTTTCGGGGGTTCATTTTAAACAAGGGTTGCCAAAAGAAAAAACCATGAATGCGCAAGAGCACAGACACGTTTTTATTTTAAACAGTGACGTAAAGAAACATTCTTTGTTTTATTATTATTTACAAATAGTTTGTGAGCCAATAAAACATGAGTGTTTCAAAATGTTCGTTTACACTAGCGTGTCGAAGTCCATGTTTCTCTGATGGATAGACCTGAAGATAATGAGGCTTGTTAGCCTTGACTAATTCCGTCACCAACATTTCAGTGTTTCTGTAATGTACATTTTCATCAATCAATCCATGCGCTATCAACAATCGATTTTCTCTATTTTTCATCCCCAAATAAGTTAGCTTCGTCTTTCTTTTCTCTCTCATTAATATATCTTACTCGTCGGGGAATTGGCTTGCATAGCTGAGTACACTACTTCTTCGATACGCTTCCACTTGTTCTTTCGGTAACCCCATATACCGTTCTGTATAAGCTGCATCATATAACTCCCACTCAATCACGGGAGCACCTGCAATCGCCATCTTGAAGAAATCTCCATACTGTGCTAATCCCATTAAACTCAAATAACCACCATACGACCATCCCGAAATAGCCACTCTTTTCAAATCAATCACACTGGGTGACCCTTCTTCTGTCCCTGCTCCAAACCTCGTATCATGTAAAAACCGAAGTCCTTCCATTTGATCCTTCAACTCCACTTGACCCAACTTCAACTGTAATTGCGCTTCAAATTCCAGTCCTCTGTCTGTAGACCCACGACTATCAATAATCACCACAGCAAAGCCGAAATAGACAGACATGAGGTATCGCATTAAACGTGGAAATTTAAATTCGTTCGTCACCAATTGTGTCTTGGGTCCACCATAAATATGTAAAACGGTTGGGTAACTCGTATCCGCTTGATAATGACGTGGTTTATACAGGCATCCATAAAGTAAGACCCCATCGGACGTATGAAATGAAAATATATCTCCGTTAGGCACCATATCTGCTAAATTCGTCAAGTCAGAAGAGCGTCGTCGTCGTAAAGGTGTCACTCCATCATATTTATACTCGTTCTCTTCTTCCTCCGCAGCGACAGAAGAAGGTTGAAGTGTAGGTATCAGTAAAGCAGAGTGTATCCTATCTTTGTCATCATGTTGAATATGTCCAATGAGAATCACACGAGGATCTGAGAGTGTAGAGAAACAATCCACGAAATAATCGGGTGAGTTCATGCTTACTGTATGACTATATCCCTGCCGTGTTAATAACACAGGTTCCTTCCCTGTGTCTAGATACGATGTCACATAAAAATGTGATTCTAAAGGAGATTCCCTTTTCGCTGTGAAATAGACCAACTGTCGTTGTTCATCCACATACAATGGTCGATCAACACAGGGCCATGTACCCTCAGTGAGTTGTCGCACACCTGTACGTCCATCGCTCCATTTTTCAACATGATACAAGTGACGATACCCATTACCCTTTTCTGAACTCCATATAAATTCTACTTTCTCTAGAGAATCGGTTCTCATAAAATGAAATGTGTCTGTCACATTAATCCAGTGTGGGTTGCTTTCTTCCCATAGAATTTGTGTGCTGGAAGGTGTTTCATTGGTATTCGTAGCTGTGAATTGAGAAGGGTATAATTTTAAAAGAGCAGTCTTCTTTTGATCTCTTGAGAGTATCTGCACCCACACACTAGAAAAAATAAACACACACATACATGAATCAATCCATGTAGGATAACCTTTGCGCGCTCTCTCTCTCTCTCTCTTTTTTTTTTTTTTACCTTTGACCGTCGGGCAGCCACCCAAATCTGACAATGTATTCGATCCAAGGAAACTGAGTTTGAATTTGATGCTCCCCCCACAACTGTTTATGCAACACCACACCATCTGCATGATCGAATTCAAGCAGCTTTAGGACACTTTGAGCGTTGGGTTTCCCGGCACGAGGATAACGAATGGGTTCCTGCATTGAATTTTTGGAAACTGTCACTTCTTCCACATCCTTTTCAGAGGTCTCCAGGTATAAAAGATGATTTTTGGTAGGACAACGATGATAACCTGTAAATCGATGAAATTCCTCCTGCATCATGTATTCCGCGACACCACATTTTAAGGTAGGATCCTCATCATTCCCACAAAACGTGAGTTGACGTTCGTTCCCCGCAAAATCCGTGCACCAAAGATCTCTATCCCTGATGAACGTAATGGTGTCTTTACCGAGTTTGGGATCCACTCGATTGGCTTGTGGGTCGCCGTAAATGGTCTTTTTCGGTAGATTGATGTCGATGGGACTCATCATGGGTGAGCAAGGTGAATTCGATCGACTGCGTTCATTGGCTTTATATGGAATTAATGTCGGCATCTGCTTTATTCATTAGCATCCCACTTGGCCTACACGAAGAAAAGAAAAAAAAAAGTTTACCTTGTCCGTGTCACTGATATAGATATTGCCATTGCATGTCAGCATAAGGGTATTGTCTAAGCGTTCCATGGAAGAGATACCAGGTAAAGGTGTCTGTACAGTATTTCCCTTTTCGTCTTGCGACAGATAGTCGGTAAATGTGATAGAGGTGTCTGAAAGGGGTAATTGACGGGTGGCTGTCAAGTAATTGTTGTCTTCTGTTTGTGGTATAGGTACAGTGTTTACTAGATATATATATAAATTAAAAAAAAAAGTTGAATGCGACAAAAAAAAAAAAATAAGGAGAGAGAATTTTACATGTGTGGAGGTTGACTTTGTGGAGAGAGATTTTCCTACTTGGACAAGTATCAGCAGAAGTAACATGGTTCGACAGAAAATAAAGATTATTACAATGCACTGTAAAATCTTTGACAACGGTCAATACTTGAACGGGGTACATGGACTGAAAGTTCGTTCTGAATTGTCTCACTCCATTTCGAACATGGTCCCAAGAATGACTCATTGTGTGTGCGTGTATATGTGATGCAAAAAGAGATAGAGAGTGTGTGTACGCGGTGATATAAATATATATAAAAAAGAGTCACAATGTACTTTTTGTTTGTTGTCAACAAGAGGGTAAACTCCCTCCCTTTTTTCTCTCCCCCCCCCCCTCTTTATTCTACATTTACCAGATGGATCCTTTTCAAAGCTTTTCGAGTCAATTCAACCCACAGTTATATGAGAGTAGTAATGTGCCACCGTCGACGGATAAATTATACTCTTTTAGTGGATATCAAGCCGGTTTAATGACGAATAATGCCTTGATGCAACCCATGTCGTCGACCCATCAAGTTCATTTCCGACCACCTATAACCCAAAACCCACCACAACCAGCACAAGGGACACACTTACAATCTTCACCCTATATGCCAACACCCTCCAACAACAACAATAATAACAGCAGCACAGAAACCGGTAGTAAATATTCGGGCATGTATGCAAACACGGGATTTGATATGTTGTCAATTCTATCACGTGTAGCCAATCGACCCAACCCACAGATCGATTTAGGACCTGTCGATCTCTCTTGTTCCTTTGTGGTGGTCGATGCACGACAATACGATTTCCCACTGGTGTACGCATCGCCCATGTTTGAACGATTAACGGGTTATTCACCTAACGAAGTCATGGGCCGTAACTGTCGCTTTTTACAGGCACCCGATGGTCGAGTAGCGATTGGATCACGACGAAAATATACCGATAATTCCATCGTCTATCATATCAAAACACACATGGTACAGGGAAAAGAATCACAATCCAGTATTATTAATTATAGAAAAACAGGTCAACCCTTTGTCAATCTGTTGACCGTGATACCCATCTCTTGGGAATCAGAAGAGATTGATTACTTTGTTGGCTTACAGGTCGATTTAGTGGAACAACCCAATTCGATCTTTCAGAGCATGAAAGATGGTACCTATACCGTCAATTATCGTAATTCTTCTATACCTCCCGTGATACAATCTAAAGATATGCGTCATGAACCTATTGAAGAATGGACTCGACCTGTTTCTCCCAAACTCTACTCGAATACAACCACCACCACCACTACCGGCAACACCACGACAACAACAACCACAACAGTCGATTTAGCTACGACAGGTACAACACAATCTGAAGCGGAACCTCCCATGGATGTTGAGACCTTGATTAAAGAAGCCAGTACAGATGAAGGCAAATTTCGAAGATGTTGGCATGAATTACTTTTGGACCAAAGTCCCGATTTCATTCATGTCTTGACGATCAAGGGTATCTTTTTATACTGTTCCGATTCAACGAAACAGGTACTCGAATACGATCCTGCCGAACTCGTAGGTAAATCATTAAAAGCTATCTGTCATCCGTCAGATATCACCACGGTGATGCGCGAATTAAAGCAATCCTCCAACGATGCAACCGAACCCGTCAACCTCATCTACCGTGTGCGCCGTAAAAACTCGGGTTATATGTGGATCGAATGTTGTGGTAAATTACGTAACGAGGATGGAAGGGGAAGGAAATATGTGGTTTTATCAGGCAGGGAAAGGCCCGTGTATCAATTACCTCGTAGTTCCTTGGCGGTAGGGAATAAAACCCATGACCAGCATCTGGCCATCACTGCAGCTGCTCATGCTGCTCATGCGCCGACGGAAGAGGTGATACCGGGCATGGAGGATCATGAATTTTGGGGGAAATTAAGTGCGGATGGATTGTTATTATATGTAAGCTGGACCTGTGCTAACATCTTAGGTTCTCCACCTCAGGATATCATTGGCTCCTCCCTCTATCAATTAATGCGAAGTAATCGAACCACAGATTTAACTCGCGCTTTGGCCGAAGTGAAGGAAGGCAAAATTGTTTATTTACGCCATGCCTTATTAAACAATGCTGGCATTGAAGTCATGGTCGCTACCACTTTCTATCCGGATGGAAAGGCTTCCGATGGTGAACCACCGTCGTTTGTATTGATGCAAACAAAAGTCATTGACGATGAATCTCCCATGACGGATGAGGAATCCCTGTATATCTCGATGGATCCCGATGTGAAAAAGAAGGGAAGGGCGGATCTATCTTTGCCTGGTTTGGATGGAAATATAGCCCCTCATCGTACTGTGGAGAGGATGGTGGAAGAATTGGATATTGGAAGGGATGCGAATTGGCAGTATGAATTACATCAATTACGTATCAGTAATAAGAAGTTACGTGATGATTTAGGTTCTTTGCTTCAACGAGCCAAACAGGTAAAAAAAAAATCATGTGTTTTTGTCTTTGCTCCTGGCCGGCCCTACCCTTTTTTTGTTCAAAACAAACTAACAGTTTACTTTATATTAGGAAGGGAAACAGGAAACGCCGGCATGTAATACTTGTCATCGTAGACTACCGGGATCGGCAGAATTATCAGATTATCCTAGCGACGAACCCTTGTTATGTAATACCTGCTCACTTCGAGAGTTACCCGCCATCATGTAATTGATGTGTAAATAATATAGAATTTTTTTTTGTTTTGTTCAATTTTATTTTAAAAACAAATAATATTTAAATCATTTTTTATATATAAGAGAAAGGGAAAGAAAGGATTTAAGTAATTTACTTGAAGACCTTACCATCGACACAATCCTCAAAGTCCCAAGCAAAGTACTTGAAGATCTCATCCTTCTTTTCTTCGTATTGAGAAGGTTCAATCTTTTGGAAGTTGTAAGATCCATAATCAGCAGCATCATAGATTTCATAAGGAACTTCTTGACCACGGACAACAAAGTAACCAGAGATGGTGTTGTTGTTGTTCTCACCACGGACAATCATGGAACCGAAAGCGTACTTGTGAGCACGTTCAAGACGAGCATAGAAACCACCAATCAAGTTGTTGGACATGAAGGTCAAGGTAAGTTCATCGTTGTACTTGTAGTCAACCTTCCAGATGGAGTAACCCTCGGGGTCAAAGTGTTCCCAGAACCACTTGATGGCATCCTTGGTGTCGTTGTTGGAGTACTCACGCTTCCAGGCATCCAAGATGAAGGGAGAAGGAGGCAACAAATCCAACTTGGACTTGGGCTTGGGAGCAGGCTTAGCCTCTTCCTCATCAGCAGCCTTGGGGGCAGCTTCCTTCTTTTCCTTCTTGGGAGCAGCAGCGGCAGCGGGGGCAGCAGCCTTCTTCTCCTTCTTGGGGGCAACGTACTTGAGGGGAGTCTCACAGAGTTCGACTTCACCGAGGTACTTCTTGAAGACGGCCTTGTTGGCAACGGTAGTGAAGTAACGGGTGACGTTCTTGAACTCGGCACGGAAGGCCTTATCGAAGACGGTCTTGAAACCAAGAGCAAGAGCAGTGACGACAGCGATATCAGCAAAAGTGACAGCCTCACCAACGAGGTAAGTCTTGGACTTGAGGATGGTGTTAAGGGCACCAAGAGCTCTCTTGACCTTTTCGGTAGCGGCATCAACGTTAGGCTTCATGTAGGTAACATAACCCATCAAAGGATAGATCCAGCCACCGAGGTTGGTGTTGATCTCGTTCTCGGAGAAGAGCAACCATTGCATGATTTCAGCCTTTTGAGCAGGAGTGGAACCCAAAAGAGGGTTGTTCTCCTTTTGAGCAGCAGCGTAGAAAGCAATAGCAGAGGACTCGAAAAGGTTGACTTCGTTGGACTCAAGAACAGGGATCTTACCCAAGGGGAACTTGTTCAAGAACTCGGCGTTCTTATCGGTTTGAATGTTGAATTCTTCAACCTTGAACTCGACACCACTTAATTCAGCCTATAACATCTTTGTTACTACTTTTTTTTTTTTAAGAGGGATGTCATCATGAACCAAAACTTACAGTGATTTGAGCCTTGGCAACACGAGTGTTTTGAGGATAGGACTTGACAGTCTAAAAAGTAATTTTGACAGTGTTAAACAACAACAATAGAAAAAAAATCACGTCGACTTCTTTATGTTATAAACTTACACCGATGGGAGCCATTTTGATAATAAAGTTATTAAAAAGGATAAAAAAACAAATTTGACGTTTCAAAAACTTTTTTTTTTTTTAGAAAAATTTCTTTTCTAACAGTCCCAATTTTTTTTTTTTTCCCATAAAGTTTATCTAATCTCAGACTTTGTCTAATTTTGTTAGGGGGTCCCCCCAATATGAGATCTCTCATAGAAAGGCTATCTATCCCATGGATTGGGGAGGTTATACAGCATTCACACATGTGTGGAGGTCCCGAGTTATTATAAGAGTACATCGTGGCTGTCTTATGGATGTCGTATCCCTGACATTTCTCTTATTAAATCACCTGTACAAGACGCGATAAATTATTAGTTTGGGCTGATGCGTTTTAGTTTATATACAATTAGATAAAGTGCAACTTTCGATCACTGAAGAAAAAACATGTGTGGCTTTAGATGTAGCCAATGCTATGATTGTTTGAAGCAAGCGCGACAGGGTTCATTTTTATCCAAAGTATATAAAGCAATGGATGTTGACAATTCTAGAGTCTTTGCGTCTACTTCAAGAATTCGACAAATAACATGCTTTATATTACCTAAATGACCAATCAGATATCTTTTAATAGAAGAAACAGACAATTACAGTCGAACCAAGTTGGGAGTTACCCAAATTCACCCCAATTACAAAATCAACAAAAATTATGAAATTTGGGTCTTTCTGGTATGCGGTGCATTAAAAAATAAATAAAAATAAAAATCATCTTTTTTCAGTAACCGCCTTCTTTTTTTTTTTTAATTATACCATCATGAAGACGGCAGGCACACTTCGTAAGAAAGGGTTGGGAGGCGTAGACCACTTTATGAAGAAGGATAAATCCAAGAACAGCCTGAACAGTTCACCCGTATCTTCACCTGCACCATCATCACCCAAAGTCGTTGCACCACCTGTAAAAGTTGTTCAACAAGCTCCCATTACCGTCGATTTACATCGTTTTGCAGACAATAACTTACAGCCTGAAGATTGTAAGTGCGACATTTTCTCTTTTTTTTTAAATGTTACTCACCATGGCGCATGATAGTTGTGCGTCGTTCTTTAGGAGATACCAATGAAGAAGGCATTCGAGGTTTCTACAAATCGTTACTGGATGCGAAGCATGTTGTGGGTGGCGATTTACAGCGAAACGTCTATCGAAACTATACCGAGTTTGTTTCCATCTCTAAAGAGATTGTGAATTTGGACGCCGATGTACTTTCTGTCAAGGAATACCTCAATGAACTCAAGTCCATCTGGGAATCGTTCCTAGCTGCAACCCACTCCTCCGACATGACCTCCAACAACAATACGATCGAAAGTATTTTCAACTCCCACCCTACCAAGAAAGCCGACATCATGACCAATACGGATAATCTATACCGTGTGCAAATCATGGCGTTATGGGATAACGTGGAAGGCTCACACCGTTTTATCCCACAAGCAGAGAACAAACATATTGTGAGGGAATGTGTGAATTTTTACGATATCAATCCCAAGACATTACAGCCTAGACAGGCAGTGCACTTGTTCTTGTTAAATGATTGTCTTTTATTAGCTCGTAGAAGAACAAACAAGTTGGTCGCTGAACATTGTTGGAATATTCAAGATTTAACCATTGTCGATATTAAAGATTCGGCTGATCTCACCAATGCACTCCGACTCGTTGTATACCCAGAGACTTTTATTTATCGCTCAGAACGGATTGAAGACAAGATGGGTCTCTTAAATGCTTACCGAAGACTGATTGATGAAAATGATGACCGTCAATTGGATACACCTCAATCCGCTGATATTCGAAAGGTAATCCTTTCTTTATATTAAAAAAAAGGAGGTGGAATGAAAAAAAAAAAAGATATTTAAACTATGTGTTTCTTTTGGTAAAATAGGTTCGAGATATAAACAATATGCATCCAGAAAAGGAAAAGTGGCTGATCGATTTAGCTGATCAAATGGAGATTATGATTGCATTGAGAGAATTCGAAAATAGTGTGGCCTATATTGAGAAGGCACGTCATATTATACTTTCTTCATCTAGCTCATTACCGATTGTGAGAGAAGCTAAAGATCACATTGAACAATATACAGATACATTGAGTACCATCATTAGTCGGGACCTGAGTAATACTCTGTTGACAAAGATTCAGTTTCAACGTTATGTCAATTGGTTACTTCGATTGGATAAGAGTGAAAAAGCACGTCAAGTCTTCTTGGGTACCCGTACATTGATCATTAAAAAGAGAATCAGGTAACTTTTGTTGATGATATACAAAAAAGGAATTGCTAAGGAGAAGGGCTGATTGTTTTTTTTATTGTTTGTAGACAATTAGTGTTTGGAGGTGATATTACTACTTATATCAGTGAATTGGCTTTGGTTGTATTTACATTGATTAGAAATACTTGTGAATGGTATCGAGATTCATTCAAACAAAACGACATGGCATCAGGTAAACTTTTAAATATTCCGTGTTTCTATTTGACTTACAATGAAATAAGGTTTTGTCACTTGGGTTCGAGAACAAACGGAGATTTATGCCAATATTTATAAACGTCAGGTGTTTGGTCAAAGTCAACTAAGCTGTCAAGTGATTGCTGATTGCTTTAAATCCACAGTGGATCAATGTTCCATCGTAAGTCTCGGCCCTACCCCCCCCCTCTAATCCCAAAGAGATCACTCACATTTTATATGTATATATATAATAGCTTCGAAAGGTGGGATTGGATCTCAAGTTCATGCTGGAAGATTTATTTTTGGAAAATGTAAAAGAAACCGTGATTGCCTATGAAAAGAGAAACAGTCAAAAGATTGAAAAGTTTATCGCCAATGATAATTTCAATTTGGTTTCTGGACAAGGCTTAGGTACAGATGTAAAGGTGACTTCTAGCGTTGTCAGCTTTTATAATTTGTTGGTCAAGTTTTCAAATGATATTTGTTTGCTTTCCAAATTACAGGTAGATAAAAAAAAAGGGGGGGGTGGAGAGAGAGTGTGTGTGTGTGATAGACAATGCAAGATTACTGATATTTTTTTTATGTGTTTGATCTGTACATGTAGTTGTATTCAACAGTGATTGAAAGTGTGTGTCAATTAACCGAACATTACCTAAGATCTATGTTGGCAGAAGCACGTAAAAAAGAACTGACTAGAGAACAGGTATAAACCCATTCGAATTTGGATAATGAGCACATTTCCATTTATTAATTAGGTTTGTATCTCAGCGTTCGATTGCTTCCATGAATGTATCGTTTATTCTTGACAATGTTGTACCAAGAGTGTCATCACAATTAAATGTAGTGTGATGATGATCAAATAGATAATAGACGGGCTTTTTTATTGACATTTTTCTTTCTTATTAGTATCACTTTAATAGACCTATACCAGAACTAGATACACTCAGAGCAAGATTAAGAGGTATAGTTTAACACGCTAAATACCACTCATAGCCACTAACAATTATGGAATAGAACTGACTTACATCAATTGATGATTACACCTACACGTGCAACATGTGAAACCTATGCTGTGCGGTAAAAAAATAACCGCTGCATTAAACCACTCCTTAATATTTTTTTTTTCTCCTTTTTAAGATTTTTTTTTTTTCTGTTTTATAAATTACAATGAGATTTTCGAATTCTTTTTTTTTTTCTTCTTCTGTTTGGGGTTTCTCCTTTAGATATATCAATGTCACTACCAATTCCTAAATTACTTGGAAGTACCATTGTATTGTCACTCCTTCCATGTGCTTATGCATTTACATCAGCTATTAAAGAAAGCACCTTATTATTATCGCATGTTATGAAAGGAACACTTGTCATTTGGAGCATCATTGAAATATTATTTTACATTTATTATTTGCATGCACGTAAACGACTTCAACAAACGAACAAACCACACAAACCATTAAACGAAACGGAACGAGCAAGTTTATTTTGGAACTGTGTACAAACCATTGACGATGTAGCCACCTGGAGTGAAGGTTGGTTTTACTATAAAAAAGACCACTCACATCCTCAATTTAAAGAGATACAACGAGAAAACCTGGCATTGTGGTAAGGGTTACACAAAACTTGTCTGTGCATTTTCTATATTAAAATTTTTTTTTATTTAAGGTTTGCATGGGCTTTTTGGCATGAGAATTTAGAAGTGGTTCGAAAAGACGAAGCCTGGTCAAATGAACTAGAATGGATGTTGGATTCAGCTGAGGATTGGTTTAAAGTGAAATTCCCAAAAGGTCAAAATAAAGAGTTACAATGCATTCGACTTAATTTAGATCCTGTCCATGCCTGTCATCGTCCTCTCATTGTCTATGTGGGACTGTATGTTTTAACCATGCTGTTCAACATGATCTTTTTACAATGGATGTTGGCATTTACAGCATACGATACCACCTTGTCTGGTGTTGTCTGGGGTGGTATTTTAGGTCATTTACATTACGCCATTCAATACACCAAGGCCCTTTTGTTTAAATCGGAAGAAGCACCAGATAAAAAAGACTTGCTGCCAAGAGCGATTTCTTATTTTTACCGGGGATCATCCAGTAACAATAAAACACCTCTCGTGTTCTTGCATGGTATTGGTGCAGGAGTTGTTTGTTACGCAGAATTGATACATCAATTGGTATCACTGGATAGACCGATTTTCTTGGTCGAGTTACCCTATGTGGCAATGCGAATGGTAGACTATGTTCCTTCTGCTGCTGAAACTGTGGGTGAAATACAAGCCATGTTGAAATCATTTGGTTATGACAAGGCAGTCTATATCTCTCATTCAATGGGTACAGGTGCTTCAAGCTGGGTTATGAATATGGCTCCCGAAACCATTGCTGGACTAGTCATGATTGATCCCATCTGTTTCCTATTGCATTATCACAATGTGGCGTTTAATTTTGTTCATCGTATTCCAAAGACATTTATCGAGGTAAGACAATAGATATGAATTTAAACGAGGCTGTAAAAGAAAATTAAAAAAAAACAAACAATTGGTCAAATAGTATATTATGCATTATGGAGCTGCAAGGGAACTTTACATTAGTAATTATATAAGTCGACATTTTCAATGGTTTGAAACGATTTATTTCTCTCAACCTAGTAATTGCGCACAATTACCGGTGTTACCTTCACCGCTTGATACAAAAGGACCTTTAGCCAATGCCACGGTGTTTTTATCGGAAAAGGACGGTATTGTCGGAAGTTCAGTTGTGCACAATTATTTATTAGAACGAGGTGTGGATGCACGTATCATGGAAGGATTAGAACATGCCATGTTTTTATCGAGTCGTTATTGGAAAAAGACGATTTCGAATCAAATAGATACCATTGCCCGTAAGGCAGATATAAAGTAAAATAAAAGTTTATTTTGTAATATTTGATAATGTGGCACCTACTTCCATGGATGTTAATGCAGCATCGAGACTTGTCATACTTGTAGGCCTACTCAGGCCTTTACGCTCATGCTGATGACTATAGTCTAATAATTCGGCTTGTGATAATCTCACTGAAAGACGCGAAGAAGAAGGTGATCTTGTGGAAATATGCGATCGGATCGAGGCTGCACGGGAAGGTGCACGAGGATAAGCAGAGATACGATGCTCTGCCAAGAATTGCTCTAAAAAGTCCACAATTAAAGGTTCCTTCATGGCGGATAATTTGTACTCTTCAAACGACTAAAAAAAAAAGGGTAACCTTAAATTATTATATATCGCAGTAATAATTTTTACATTCCTCCCTCCTCGCCAACACTTGTGATATTTACCAAACGCCCATCATTGTCGACATCAAAATCTTTAAACATGTGTTCAACCATTTCTTTAATTTCAGTTGTGCGATCGTCTTTAGAGAATGTACAAGACTATTTTCAATATAAAAAATATAATTAAAGTCAGGAGGGAGAGGTACCTTTTTTTTTTTGTATATTTCAAAACCCTACCAACTTTAACATGACCCGCTCCAATTCTGATTTAGTTAAATAGCCATCATGGTTGACATCGTACAGTTTAAAGGACACTAGGTAGTTAGGGTTAACCTTTTTGTGTTGCCAAGGAAAAAAAAAGCTCTAAAATAATACTTACAAGACAACTTTTCCTCGGCATTGCCCTTGATAAATATACTAAGACCATCAGCAAATTCACTAAAGTCCATGGCCTTATTGTTGTCGCTGTTGAATGCTGAGTAGAGTTGGTTGAGAAAAGCATCGTCGTTGGAAGACACTGATGGAACATACTTCTTGACGGTCTAGAAGAATTTATTTTTTAAAAAAAAATATTATCTCAAGATTTGACACAAGATATAGTCATACCTCTTTGAAGACTTTGGGAGTAATATTGGACTTTGAATCCACTTTATGTCGAAGGTCATGAATCTCCTTTTTGGAAACTATTACATATAAATGAATAAAACGTTTGTGTAGATGAGCATAGGATATCCTTACAATGTGTCTTTTTGGATAAAAGGTTGTTTTCTTGACTCTCTCTGCTCTTCGTTTGTCCCATGGTAAATGAATAAGAAAGTATAAAGAAAGTGAGTTCACACACACTCGTTCCGTCCCCACCCCCCTCTTTTTTTTTTTACATTAGGCGGAGTTGCTTAATTGTTACCTTGTACCACTGTAAAGTCATGGACAAAAATGCACCCCCATTCACATTTTAATGGAAAGCCACAAGAGATAGTACATGAATCATAAAGGGATAGGCTCGTGTCTATATCATTCTTTTACTTGTTCCCCCTGAGTTTAATCCAATAAAGCATTATCATATGGTGGCAAAAAGAGTAAGGTTACAAGTTCATGCAGGATGACACGTTAGTAACCAAAAAGTCAGTGCCCGCAACAACAGCTCATTTCTCATCTGTCTTTTACTTTCGTAATCAAGACAACGGTGGATAGAAACCAACATTCTTTTTTTTTTACGTAAGATAATCTCAATATTAAACTAGCCTAATTTATCAGATCAAAAAAAAAACTTTGGGTCACATCCTGCACAATAAAAACTCAAAAATGATACCAATCTTTTGGCTCAGCCGTGTCCAGTATTCCTTAACCAATGATAAAGATTATTGCTCAGGGCCATTGATTTTACCGATAGTTATTTCCAGGTCCACCGTTACCTTTTTCAGTGCCTATTTCACATGTTTATTAAAAATAAAGCTTTTGTATTATAAAGACATAATCAATTATTTATATTACTCTTGGATTGGTAAAGATATTTATATTTTAAAAAAAGCATGGTAAATGTGTGAAGACTGTATAAGATGATCTCTGTTGCACAAAACAATCAGCAAAGGTGGGTGGACCTGTTTATCATTTTTTTTCAAACCCAGGGCCTGGGGGGGGGGAGAGGAAGGGCAGAGGGTTTTTGGTGGGACCCTATGAAATAAAATTCTGAGCGTTTTTATTTTTTTATATCACAGAAAAAAAAAAAAATTGAACATGATAAGCCCTCCATCGACTGTTATTTTTGTACATTCAACAGCCCATTGGGAGGCCATTCAACAGCAACGAGCACAGTTATTGGGAGTTCCACCTGCACCTGAACCTGTTCAACCTAAAAGAATCAAGAAGCCAGCACCTGCCGATGAAAAGATAAAGCGGTCCCATGTGGGTAGCGCCAGTAGTCGTCGTCGAAAGCGATGGACCAACAGTATGATTCAGCAAATGACAAAAAAAAAAAACTTTAGAGAATGATTACGTTTAACTGGTTTCTTTTTTTTTTTCTTATTATTAAAATGATAGACAACTTCTCAGAACATCCTCAAGCAGTACTTTATGCTGAAGACCTTCGACCACCTGGTTATGTCTATAAGCATCATGATGCATCTATTCTAGAAGGAGAGACGATCATCGAGCCTATAGAACCTGTCATACTACCTACAATTTTATCTAGACATATTAGACATGACCTTAAAAAGGCTCATATTTCACAAGGTCTGGTGTCCAACTACGAGACCCAACTTGTGCAATTCATAGACGTTTGGTTAGATAACCTTGAACAACTGGATAATATATGCTTAGAAATCACATCCAATAATCAATTTGAGAGATACGTTTTGCATACAATTAGTCAATATTACGGATTTAGTTCATTCAGTAAGTCATTCAAGTATTTTTTTTAAGGAAAAAAACTGAATTATGCTTAACGCTTATTGTTTTAGGTAAAACAAATGATCAAAATATACGAACAACATTTATTTTTCATCCTGCATACATGAATTACCTCACAAAAGATGATAGAGATATTGATTATTTGGATGCTGCAAATTGGATCATGCCTGAGAAATCCTTTTTCGATTACTTGTTCAATAAATAATTCGGTGAAACCATGCAAATCATCAACTGTCTCTCTCTCTTTTTTTTTTTTTTTTTTTTTTTTGCTAAACGCACCTTGGCATCATAAATGCATTATTATTACACAACATTTTGTTTAATATCACAACCCGTCGTAAAAAAACCGCATGCCGTCATCCACTGTTTCTTGTATATGTATAAAAAAAAAAACTTGGGTGATCACTGTCTCTTCTCTTTTTCTCTTGCTTTTATAATATTCAAAAATGTCTAGAGATACATTACTAGCGCCGCAAAGGAAAAAGAACACAAACGGTGTACCACTGTTTAAACAAAAGGTGACAAAATTAGACGTGAAATTAGACAATGAAGTACATTACGAGTTTGGTGGACCCATCGGTGTATGTGCCATGATGATTGGGTTTCCTTGTTTAATGTATTATTTCTGGGTATGTCTCGAATACCATCAAGGTAGATTGATTTACCCTTCAAGTTTGTCTCAAATCAAACCTTGGATCATCAATGAAATCTGGAACAAGATCAAGATCGGCGCTTATCCTTCTGCCTGGGCAACACAAGTCTATATGGGTTATGTCTTATTTTCCTTTGTATTGGCTTATTCTATGCCTGGTCCTGTCGTGGAAGGATTACCCATTCCTTCCTTGAACGGTCAAAAAGTAAGGATACCCATACATTTATAAATATTTGCAGCATAGTAACACCTATAGTCAGCTTAAATATTTATGTAACGGTCTCTCCTCTTGGTATTTAACATTGTTTGTTTCATTTGTCTGCCATGTCAGTGGCGTGTTTCGTCTCACTCATATCATTGACCATTTTGGAGAGTTAATGACGGTGGCTATTCTCTGGGGATTCTTCATGTCTGCTGTTGTGTATGCTGCAGGTATTTACTCGGGAAAGACTCATCGTATGTCTGGTAATTTCTTTTACGATTTCTTCATGGGCGCGACTTTAAATCCAAGAATTGGACATGTCGATCTCAAAATGTGGGCGGAAATTAGATTACCCTGGCCCGCCTTATTCTATTTGTCTCTTTCATGCCTCTTGAAGCAATATGAAACATACGGTGCAGTGACTGCCCCTGCTGTCTTTATTGTCTTGGCTCATTTCTTGTATGTAAATGCTTGTCAGAAGGGTGAAGAGTGTATTCCTACATCATGGGATATATTTTATGAAAAGAATGGTAAGTGTAGATAGTGGCTGAATTTTCGATATCTTTTTTTTACTAATAAGTGGATGGGTGCGTGATGTTAGGATTTATGCTGATATTTTGGAATATGGCAGGTGTTCCATTTACATATTGCTATGCATCTATCTACATGATGAAATATCAATTGACTACAGGTCGTGCCATCACACATAGTTTGCCATATACAGTTGGCATATTTTCATTATTACTCGTCGGTTATTATATTTTCGATACTGGAAACTCACAAAAGAACCGATTCCGTATGGAACAAAATGGATCATTTATTGCACGTAATGCATTCCCACAATTACCTTGGGGTCATATTAAAAACCCTAGCTACATCAAGACAGATCACGGTAATTTATTACTGACGTCTGGATGGTGGGGAGTGGCAAGAAAGCCACATTATACAGCAGATTTAATGATGGCTATCTCGTGGGGTTTAATCACTGGATTTGATTCGTTTTTACCTTATTTTTATTTCTGCTTCTTCTTGTGTGTTCTCGTTCATCGCGTATCAAGAGATATGGAACGATGTGCCAAGAAATATGGCAAAGATTGGGAGAGATATTGTGAGAGAGTCCCATATATTTTTATCCCTTACGTATTTTAATCCTAGCTTAACTATATTTTGTTCATTTTTATTTAATAAATAATTTTAATTTCCTTTTCATACATATGCAGATAAGACAACAAATTAGGAACAATAAAGACATGAGTTTATTATGAAGCGGGGGTTTTTTTAATAAGTAATAATATAGTGATAGAATCTATAATCTAATAATCTAATTTTTCTAAGGGGTGGATAAAAGCAGCTGTCGTTTAGGCAACAGTCAAGAAAGGCAATTCAAGAAGAGCGGTTCCGCTGACAACTCGGATAACAGTAGTATCTGTGGTAGTAGTACTAGTGGTGGTAGAAGTGCTGGTGGCAGAGGTGAGAGTGATGGTAGGAACCTCTTGAGCAGTGACGGTTTGGTAGATGTACCAGTTCTTGTTCTTGTGGTAGTCACCCTTTCCTCCATAATCACCCTTTCCTCCATAATCGCCCTTTCCTCCATAATCGCCCTTGCCACCCTTGTTCTTCCAGTCCTCATCATCTTCATCATCATCATCCTCATCATCATCATCGTGCCACTTCTTATCGTCTTTATCGTCCTCCTCATCATCTTCATCGTCATCTTCGTAACGCTTCTTCATGTTGTTGGCAACCTCAGCGAATTCGAAATCAAGAGGAGAGCCGGAAAGCTCAAGCTCAGAGAAAGGAATGGCTTGAAGAGAAGCAGATGCGGGAGCGGCAGAGGCTGAAGCGGAAGCTGAAGCAGGTGCGGCAGAGACAGCAGCGGCCAAAAGGGCAACGGACAGGATTGAAAGAGTAAAACGCATTTTTATAAAATAGGTAAAAAAGTAAGAGATGTTGAAATAGAAAAAACTAAAGTAGAGAAAGAATGAGTAAAAAAAAAGTTGGAAGCAGAATGTATCTTGTATTTATACTCAATCGAAATATATAAAAAAAAAAATTATTTGTTATCACAAATAACGATTGCGTTTAGTTTTAAACTGATTTCTTTTTTTCGTAGGCAATTTATTTCTCTGTTCTGCTTTAACCTCTCTTTTTGCTTAATACATGTCAAGGATCCATTATGACCAAACCTATCACATGTCTTGCTTTCTCTTTTCTTCCTATTTCTTTTTATTTCTTTCATAGATACCATCCTAACAACGTCTGTAAAACTGTCGTCAAAGAAAGTTCTTGTTTGGATTTTGCCCATTCAAACCAAACATACTGGGTCAAGTTCATAATATCGGAGTTTATTAAGCAGTAGCATATTTCTCCGTCCCCTTGGGTTCCTTGATCGGATGTTTACATGAGAAATGTGTCTTTATTTGTGTGTGTGTGTGTGCTTTTA